GTCTCCCTGTCTGACCCCTGGTCTGGAGAGTCTGTATCTTGCACTGGGGTAAAGATTCTGTTGGTGTACCACCTCCCCCACTGTTCAAACAGAGGTGATAGAGGTGGTCTTGACTGTGATGCTGAGGTCCCTCAGGCTGTTGGTTATGGCGGCTGTCAACATTCATGCTATGGGCACCTCAGGATTTCATGGCCTCCATAACGACCATGAGATTGTCCCAACATGTAGCAGGGCCTATCTAGACCTATTTTTTCAGGTCTGGGGATGATGGTCTGAAAGTGAGTGACTTTAATTCAGTCCCTTTATCATAGTCAGATTACAGTCTGCTGCAGTTTACTGCTGGTGGCTTTTCCTCTTTGCAAGAGTAGGGGACAAGATGGTTTGCTTCCAGGGGCAAATGGATCCAATTAGTTTCCAGAGAGCTCTAAGGGGTTTCCTAGCTAATATAGCTGGTGGTCCTGTTAACCACCAACCAGACCACCTGGTTGATCTCTGGAACACAGAAATGACCAGGCAATTGACATTATTGCTCCTGAGCACTCTCTCTGCAGTAAAGCTTGTACATCTCTATAGCACATCCCCAACTGGAGAGGGATGAAACAAAATAGAAGATGGTTTTAATGCAGATGGAAGTAAGTCCCTAGTGGATACAGTTGAACCCCGATATGTGACTATAATCAGGTATACATAGGTGCTACCCACCATAGCTTTTTAGGTATGTCCAGGGCCTATCATATGCTGGCCCAAAGGATGTGTGGACCCAACCAAGTCCAGCTGTAATATACTTGCGAAGCACTTACAGGACAAAATGTCTTTCATCCACCAGTGTTACAGCAGTTGAATCAAGTGAGATACCCAGAGTAGATGGTCTACTCTTCTTGGTTGAGTTTTTGTTGGGACAGCTTGAGGATGTTGATAAGGTGCTCAGACAGGTTCATGCAACCACCTCCATTTTGTATTCTTGCCCCTCTTGGCTTATAAAAAATATTAAGGAGGGAACAGCCAGCTGGAGCAGGGAGATGGTTCATTTCTTCTTGTAAGAGGACATATCTACAAGAAAGAGCAGCAAAGCTACTCATGAATAAGTCCTTACTGAAGTTAGGAGATCCTAACAATTTTGCTGGTGGCAAATGTTGCTTTCCTGGGAAAAGTTCTTGAATGGGTGCCAACTCCAGGCACTCTTGGATGAAACTGATTAACTGGATCTGTTTCAGTTGCTTTTTTCTTACAACAAACTCAAGGCAGCTTACATTGTTCTCCTGCTGCTCTCAATCTTATCCTCACAAGACCAACCCTGTACGGTAGTTTGGGCTGAGAGTCTGTGACTAGCCCAAAGTCACCCAGTTGGCTCTAAGGCTGAGCAGAGACTAGAATGCAGATCACCCAATTTCCAGTCCCACACTCTTAACTACTAAATCACATTGACTGACTTTTCTTTCCCTTTGCAGCATGGTGTATGCATAGAACATACATCTGTTCTTACCTATCTACATAGTAAACTTTTTTTAATGTTGTAGTGAGCATGGTAGTACTGAGTTGAATAGGCTCCAGTTTTGTGTTTACTTTTCCTTATGGTGATTGTCAAGTAACAACAGTATTAAAGGAGTCAATCCCATGCCAATGTAAAAGGGAATCAAAAGGAAAAGCAAAGTTGGTAATTTTCCAAAAAATTACTTGATCATACATGTACACCTGGTCCTTTGATGCGCCAGCAAAGCAGTTTTCCTGAACACTAGGAAAAAATCAGTATGAGCTATATTGTGCAGTAGTGCAGCTGTGCAGTAGTGTAGCTACCCACTTTCATGGATCTTGAGGCAGGGAGGAATAAATAACAATACTTAAAAACTGAAATTAACATCCCCTGACAGAGACTTGGGAAGCTGGCAAGGGATGGAGCCTTGTGGTAGTAATCCAATTGTGAATGCTCTCCCCACTGAGTTCTGCCTAGTGCCAATAATGTTATCTTTTCAGCACCAGGTTATGTTTCTACTTCCATTTGAAGACATAAGGGTTTTATGTCAGTTGTTTTATTAAGTCCAGGAATTTTATTAAAACTGGGGTTTTCAGGGGTGTTTTTTTAACTCAGAGCTCTGGGTATTGAGCAAAAGAGAAATGGAATATTAAAATGTCAAAATGAAATTAGCATGGTCAAAATGGCATAAAGATGGAAATCTTGCCTCAGCCATATACTTGTCTTTATTTCTCAGACAGTCTCCTATCTTTTGGCCTGAGGTTGCTTCCAGATCAGATTTTTTATTATTTTCCTATTGCCACTCTTCATTCTTATGGAAATCATGATCCTCTTACATAACCACCCACCAAAAATGTGCTTTTATACTACTTTCCATATTTCAGCTGGGGCAGTGGTTATTATATCTTCAGGAACCTTTGTGGGCTCCAGTGCCACACTTACACAGTCCCAGTGTCTCTGCTTCTAGGTCATATCTTTGCATTTCTTTTTCCATTATCTCCTAGGTAAATGTGAAAGGACAAGTTTTTCTTCTGCATTCAAAATGGCGGATGCTGGTAGTTCATGACCACCACTACCACCCGTATTGCATAGTTGCCAATTACAGAAATACCAGTTTCAGAACTTGTATAAGGACTACAGCTCATTTTTTAAAGAAAGGAGAGAGAAGTATATAACAAACTGCTATAAATATACTGCTAAAAACAGCAGTATTGAGAATTAAGTCTCTTGCAGCTTCCAGGACCTTGCTATTAGTGGTGCAGAAACTGCAGTTGCTAGGGAAAAGCTTTTACTTCTCCTTGTCCCCAATATCCTCACCTGCAAGACTGCTGTTTTTCTGCAGATAAAGTTGTCTGGGTGGGAACTGGGAGAACTAAGAGCCTCTCTCTCTCTAGCTGTCTCAGGGAGGGGGAAGTGTAGGTGTGTCTGTGCAGTGGGAAAGAGTGTGTGCACTTTGTGTGGGGAGTGACAGGCTCACCAGTGGAATGCTTCCGTACATGGAGGCATCCACAACATGCTAGGGGAAAGACCTCTGTCTCATTGTAAGAGAATAAACCTTCACAGTAAATTCCCAATGCCCATTCTGGTACCTGTTTTGTGAAAGAGTACTTTGGACAACTCCGTATTTAGAACATAAACACCATGTCTAACTGTGTTCTGTTTTTATAAAGAAGACTATAATGCTTCCTATACATAAAATAATATCAGCTTTGTCTTATTATTGAGGTTAAGAGTACTCAGGTGATTAATGCTCATTTTCCCAAGATAAAGTATTTTAATACTACAAAGCCATAAGCTGTTCAGTTTATCACTGCTGTTGCAAATCCAAAGTATTCTTGTAAAACAATTAACTATAAGCTGAATCTCTGATATATGAAATGTATACCTAGAATATGAATAAAATATGTATATTCTAATTTTAGAGAGTGCAGTAGAGAGAAAAAATAACTGAATACATGTACAATGAATACTACTTGATGCATTTACAAAGTTCCTTCCTGGAAGGAACATCTATGAGAGAATTGGCCTGTAATTTGTGTTGTAGATTGTAACTTGTGACAATATGTGTGAACTGTTGTAAACCACCTAGTGGTTGTAAACCACCTAGCTTCAGTTATGGGGTGGTATAGAAAGAAAAATCGTGATGATGACCATGGCACAGGCTAGGCATGCTGGATTCACAATATTACAGTACTGGATTTTAGAACATGCCCAATAACTCCCACTTATTCTTTTTTAAAGCATGGCAGGGAAATATATACCATGCTGGCAAGCTGCCAAGCAAGGGGCCCTGGGAAGCACATTTTTGATCAGGGCACCATTGCCAGGAAGCCCCTTCCTCTGGTTGCAACCTATATGACCTCTGAAGGCAGAGAGAGCAGGCAAAAAGCCCTACAGTGCAGGTAAGTTGATGTAAGAGCAGGCAGTCCCTTATTATTTATTTATTTATTCATTCATTCATTCATTCATTTATTTATTTATTTATTTATTGAAACATTTTTATGCCGCCCCATTCGCCGAAGCCTCGGGGCGGCTTACAACAAAAAATTAAAACAGATCAAGCTGTATATACCATTAAAAGCTGAGACCATAAATTTGAATTGTGCTCAGAAAACACAGGAAACTATTTTAAAACTGGTGACAGGTTCTTGCACTGCACTGAGAACCAGTTACAGTTTTATAGTGGCTTTTAGCTGGGGAAGTTGCAGCCTGCAGCCTATTATACTTGGAGGGGGACCCCAGCTCATTTGGTGCAGAGCACCTGTATTGTACATTCAGTCCCTTGTATCCTGAGCAAAAAGTATGCTGGAACAAATGTTAAAGTTTGGCTCGAAACTCTAGAAAGCTGCTGCCAGTCACAGGAAGCAATATGAGATTAGTGCATGGATGGACACTCTGTATTGGGTGCTTTCTATGTTCCTATAAAAACAAACAAACAAAAACCTCCAAAGCATATGACACCTTACAAAGCAGAAATACCTTACCAAAAATAATTTACATCACATTGGAAATCTCCCTGTTGAGCTATGAGAAATCTGCGCTGTCAGATCATGGTGATACAGTTACAACATTAAAAAAACCCAAATCAAATGCCAAAGATAGCTGTGCTGGTTCATGATTAACCCTCGCCCCCCATCTGCAATCATTGCTTAGGGTGTATTTATTACTATGAATATAGATCTGTAAAATATTGCCGCCCTAGTACAAGTTAATCATAGTGAAAGTAGCATCAAGAGTGGCATTTCCCCAAGAAGACTAGAATATCTGATTTCTGGATATATATGTTGCTTTTCTAAAAAATGAGACTCTACTTCAGCTTTGTTACTGACTTCTCGTTCCTGATGGTTATGAAGAGCCACTAACGCCCTGCCACTGAGACAAGGTGAAATCCGGCAGCAGGTACTTCGTCAACAATCAGCTGGCTCTTTAATTCAGGTGAATGCATTCAGGGGATGCTTCTGCTTGCCCCGCCCCTTTGGCGCGCACGCGCAGCGAGCAATTTGCGCTCGAAATGTGCTGTTGGCCGGTGATCGACTGTTTCCTCAACTGCGCGCTTATGGAGGAGAGTACGAGCGCGTGAGGGGTGCGCGCGCCAGGCTCATAGCTCCCCCCCCCCCATCCCTTTTTACTCCCATGGCGGGCGCTGGGCCCGGGCCCGGCCTTGAGGAAGAGGCCGACGAGGAGCTGCTGCAGCTGGAGACGGAGCCGCCGCCCGTGACGGTGGCTGGGAAGGCCACGAAGGCGACGCCTGGAGGCGCTGTCAGGATCAGCCTCGGCCGGGGCTCGGTGACGCCAGCGGGACCGGAGTTGGACAATGATGGAGGCGAGGAGGACGAGGAGGACGAGGAGGAGGAGGAGCCCCTTCTGGGTGCGGGGGCTTCGGGCTGGAGCCGTAGGAACCAGGAGAGCCGCGGCGCCGCAGGTTAGGGTCGCACTAACCAACGCTCGCCTTCAGCTCGCTTCGGCGGACTTGAGGCGACCGCAGCCCTGCAGGGGTTAAATGCGCAGATTCTACCACTTTGGACTGCTGAGTTGGTGATGGCATCTTTCAGTTCAAAAACGCCCCTGTAAATAGAAAATTAGGGGATTTTCTTCCCTGGTTTCCCCTTAGAGGTTTTTCGGTTTCTTTTTCATCTATGAGTATGGCCTTCTTCCTTGATCTACATACCTGTTGCCTGAAATAGTACAGTCCACTCCACCAGTCTGGAGTTCCACTGCTTCATTCTGTGCATTTATAAACTGCCACTGTGATCTTGAGCAGGATGTTGCCCCTCTGTCAGTTTTTCGTGAGCAAGCAGATCCTTTTGCTTATATTTTTATTTATTAACTTTGTACATCTCTCACACACTCTTCAGAAGAGCTAAGGGAAACATAATGGGACATGATATGCTATTTAATCCACACCAGTGTATAATTATTTGTCTGTCTGTCTTTCTAGCTATGCTTTTCCTCTCCAAAGGTTCCTGGAGTGCCATACAATAAACTAGTAAAATGTTATTTAGTTTTCATATACTGTTTCTGAGTACTCCAAGTGATTAATTCAGATGGGATTCTTCCAGACATAGGGCTTGTAGGGCTACCATCTAGAAGGGATTATGACTCTATTGTGTTTTTGCTCTGCTGGGCAGCAATCCTGCCACTCGCACCTTCATTGCTTATCAGCCTCCAAATGCAAAGGCTCAAAACAGAAAAGGCATGTTGGATCAGAGCTGCGGTTCATCAAGTTTGGCATTCTGTTCACTGTGGGAAACCAGTTGCCCAAAGGATCCCACAAGGAAGATATAAGTATATGGTCCCCACCCACCCATGTTTCCCAGCAATTGGTGTACATGAGCATACTGCCTTTGACACCAGAAGCTGCATATAGCCATGAAGGCTTTGTTAAACTTCCCAGAAAGCCATTTGGCTATTGGACAGTATAGAAATGAAACAAATAAATAGCCATCAATATCTTCTTAATGAATTTGCCCAGTCACTTTTTAAAGCTGCTTAAATTATTGGCCATCATTAGTTTAATTATGTATTGTGGGAAAAATACTCCTTAATACTTCAGTAGGTTCTGTCCTGAATTTCTCACCAATCAGCTTCTTGACTCTAGGTTCACCCTCTCCCCTTCTCTGTATCATGCATAATTTTGAACACTTATATCACATCCCCTCTTATTTGCCTTTTTTCTAAGCTAAACAATTTCAGGTGTTGCAACCTTTCCTCAAAAGGAAATTGCTTCAATCCATTGGTCATTTTAGTTGCTGTTCTCTGCACATTTTCCAACTCTATAATGCCTTTTTTTCAAGTGTGGTGACCTGAAGGGCACATGATATTCTATATGCAATTGTACCATAGGTTTCTATATGATATTGGGAGTTTTATTTTCAGTTCATTTCCTAGTTATTCCTAACATGGAGTTTGCACTATCTTCATTGAGCTCTTATCCACAGCCCCTAGGTCCATTTCTTGGTCAGTGACCAAGATTCCACCAGATTCCATCACCTTTTTTTGCCCCAATATGCCTTAATTTATACTTACCTTGAACTGAATTTACCATTTTGATGCCCATTCTCCTAGCTTGCAGGATCCCTTTGGAGCTCCTCAGAATCTTCTTTGGTTTTAACCCCCCTGAATAGTTTGGAATCATGAGGAAACTTGACCATTTCACTGCTTATTTCTAATTCCAGATCATTTATGAATAAGTTGAAAAGCATTGGTCCCAATATAGAACCTTGTGGAACCCCACTGTTTACATCCCTTCATTGGAAGAAATTATGGTGAATTCCCACTCCCTGTTTTTCTTCTTCAACCAGTTACTGATCCATAAGAGCCCCCGCCCCCAATTCCATGACTCCTAAGTTTGCTCTTTGGTGAGAGACTTTATCAAAGTCAAATTGACACCTTCAAAGAATTCTATAGCAGGGGTCTCAAACTCAACTTAACTCAACTCAATTCTATAGCAGGGGTCTCAAACCCCTCCCCCGTGCCTCGCCCGTCCCGGCAATTGGCCCGCGGGCCATGAGTTTGAGACCCCTGTTATATAGGGTTAGCGAGAGAGGCTGGATCTTTTAAATTGTCTTTTCATTGTCTTTTAATGTTCTTTTGTGTTCTTTTAAATTATTTTTTAATTCTTACTGTTTGATCTATTGTATTTTATTGTTTTTAGTCTTCGTATAAACTGCTTAGAGAGCTTTGGCTACAGGCGGTATGAAAAAGATGATGATGATGATGATGATGATGATGATGATGATGATGATGATGAAAGCCTAGTTGGCTTCTGTATGTGGAATGAAAACGGGGCACCAGCTTGTTCTGCACCTCATTCAAGATATTTGGTCCACCTTTAAATGTGGTCCTGGAGTTCTCACTGAATGTTCTAAGCAAAAATGGTTCTCATTGAATGTTATGTGTAAAATCCCTCTGCAAGTAGAGAACTAGGAGACTGGGCTGGATTAAACTATTTTAGGCAATATTTAGTTAGGCAATATTTTGTGCAGGAGATCTTTTTAGTGTCGTGACTAGAGTGTCATGTAAGGACTGGAGGGCTTCAGGTTGAAATATCCACTTAACCAGGAAGCTCACTGGATGATCCTGGGTATCCACTTCACAGGGTTGTGTTGAGGAGAAAGTGGAGCTGGAGCATAGACTCATGTACACTGCCTTAAGCTTCTTGGAGGAAAACTGAGATATAATTCTCATAAATTATAAATGCAGATTCCATCTGAAATTTAAAATATCATAGCCATTCTACTTTATCATTCTTCTGGTGTAGATCAAGATTTAGTTGTTATTTCAACACCTTAGTAAAGTAGCTCAGTGTTATCTGTGCACTACAGATAAGGGGTGTTCAGGGGTGCTAAGGGGTGTTAAGAGAATTGGCAGCTTTACTGGGGCCACTATAATCAGATCCTTGTCATTAAACAACAGTGTAGTTGCCTTGTTGTTCTAATGTTTGGACTACAACTCCCATAAGCCCTAGCCAACATCATAACTGATTGAAGATGACAGTAGTTGTAGACTCAAACACCAGGAGAGTGATGTATCCCTTAATCAATGGACAGTCAGATGCTCCAGCCCACACACAAGTATTGTCTGAAGGCATAAGCAATCTAATATTGCTTATCCTCAATTCCTGATAAACATGACATATTATTTCTGTATCTTGAGACCTCAGTCAACTGTTATAACTCATAGTGGTTCATAAAATTAATAATCTTTTCTTAGCCCAGTCTTTCTATCACTTCCTAAAATGTACCTGCCTCAGAACAGTTTTCTGGTTTTTGGCAGAAGAAAACAAAATCAGAATGCTATCTTATATGCAAAAACTCACATAGTTCAGTGGAGTTATTTCTGAGTAAATATATAGGATCAGAGTGTATGGGAGTCTACTGCCAAAGTGCAACAAAAGGGACAGTAAAGTTTTCACAAAAGGAAGGACTTTGGGAGCTGCAGAACAATTGTAAATAGGTATAAGAAAAAGTTAATCAGCGGTATGTCAGGAACACAATTGTTCATATGTTAAGGCTATTTTGGGTTTGCATATTACCATAACTAGTAATGAAAAATAAAATATTAAAGCTCATCATTCCCTCTAACAGTGAGTGCCAGATTTTCAAATTTTAAATTATCTCAGACTTTAAAAGGAACAGATATATTAAACTTGCTGTATTTTTATTATTTCCAAAATTATTATCTGAACTTGCTGTTCTTTTGTTCCCTCCCTGTTTTGTTTTCCTTTATATGAGTGATAATAATTTAAGTATTTGTAACTTAATAGCATTTTTAAAATTTCAGCTTACAATTCTAATTTAGAGTGTCTTATCTAGCACACACAGGAAATGTTGGAAGTACTGCAGAGATGAATATCTTTTTGGATGATCCTGAATTTGCTGAAATCATGCAGCAAGTAGAACAAGCCATCGAATGTGGGGTCTTTCCTGAAAGAATCTCCCAGGGATCTAGTGGGAGTTACTTTGTCAAAGATTCTAAGAGAGTAAGTGCATGTGGCTTGATTGTTCAAAATAGCAGAATAGCCTTTCAGAAGATTTCCATGTTACACTTAAATGCACATTGGCTGCATTCACACAAAATAATAAGCAACCCTGTATGGTTACCATGATTCACAGTATTTTACCATGATCTACCTGACAATCAAGCTGTTTCTACTTTATCATGGTTTTTATGCTCTCCACTCAGTCCTCCCACTGTTGGCATGTATCCCATCAGCCATTGTGCCTGAAATTCAGTCTCAAGGTGAATTTCCCCCTGCCTATGTTGCCTGCCTCTTCCTCATTGGTCCCCACATAGACGCTGAATTGCTGTAGTGGCTCCTGTAATTGCCATTATTTTCAGAGGACTGTGTGTAGTTGCATACCAGGACTATGGAATCAACACTACACTACAAGCCATGGTGGTACAGAGAAACTGTAGAAGAAAACATTGTTTCTTATCATGGTTTCTAAAGACCAAACTTACTGCGATAAACTACAATGACTGAGTTCAGACAACATGACAGACCAACAATGGTTAAAAAAGACCACTGTGACTTGTCGTGCTCTCTGAATCAGCCATTGTCACTTTTATACATGACAACACATGCCTTGTTTACACTGCAGGTTCTGCAGTAGTAATGAAGTACCTTGAGAAAAATCTGGATTTTGTTTTTTCATAATAAAGCTACATGGTGGGGGACCAAAACCTTTAGGCAGACTGTGAGCTGACTTTGGTACAATATGAAGTAAAGCATTGTTTTGTGCAATTACTGTTGGAATGAGTATTTAAAGAATCTATCTGTGTAGTTTAGTTAGTTTCTGTTAAACTAGATTTAGGAGCTAAAATCTTTGATTCATATACTGAAAATTCATTTTATTTGGTATTGACCACATTTTACTAGTAAACTAATTTCTAAAAAATATTTATAATTTTGTTTATTTAAGACATGAGTATCACTTCTTTTCGCCCCTCATTAAATAAGAATTTAGTATTTTTATGATTAAAAATGGATATGGATATAACATTTCATTACTTTAACTGCCTGACACTGTCTAGTGTATGAAATTACCACATGTTCTGCCTGGAAAGGGATGATTGATTTCTTATTTTCAGGACATTTTGTAAAGGATATCATATAAAGAGTCAGCCTTATTAAATACATTGATGGTTAAAATTTCAGGATTTATATTCTATTAAAGTAGTTTAAGTCCAGGAGTTCTGGTTAAACAGGTTTCTGTAATGCAGCATAATAGCCTGAAGTTAACTATTGATGTTCCTACAAAGACATGCTTAGGATGAATGGCATTGAAAATTTGGAGGTCATGAACTAACCTTATGAGGCCAAAGCTGGGAATGATCACCATTGTCAGATCAGGCATGGTTTCTGTGGCACCCTAAAACTGGATAGGCAGAATTCAGTAGAGACATAGCTCACTTCCTTGCATAGTGTTACTACCGTGTTCCTTAGATGGGGACAGCTGCATGTATATTCGCCATTCTTTTCTCTATATTGGCTAGCTTGCACTTACATTTCAATTTCCAATTGTAAGGGGTTGGGGAGAGAGCATATTTCAGAAAATACCATAGTGCTGTTCTCATTCTCCTTTGGGCAAGATGATAGATTACCATTTACTAAAGTTTATTTGAATTAACATGATACTGGCTGAAAGGCTCTACCGATGCTGCTGCTGGAAATGTTCAGGAGTTGATATATGTAAGAGATCAGACTATGTTGGACTACAGTTTCTTTAATCCCCACCAAATGGTTAGTGATGAGAGTCATATTCCAGATCATTTTAGAATACTTTAGTAGCTTGAGGTAAAATTATTCCTAATCCCACATATGGAAATAGTTGTTGAGGGAGAACAACCGAAGAAAACATACTTTACCACAAATTTAGATTTCTGTATTGGTTTTTTTGGGAAATGAAGTACAGTGGTACCTCGGTTCATGAATGCTTCAGTTCACAACCAAATTGGGTCGTGAACAGAAATTTCAGAAAAAATTTTCCTTAATTTGCAAACTCCACATTGGGTGACGACTATGATCTTGGCCATGTTGCTGCACAAACATGATTGTGATCACAGCCATCTTCCCTGCACAAGCATGATTGCAATTGCACCCGTCTCACCTCCCCCCAAGCACGATCGCATGATTATGGTTTGGACTCTCCCTCCAAACAATAATCTTCCCCCCACCTAGGTTAGTTTTCTCTGCTGTACTATACTTTGTTGTTCTTTGTTACTTTGTTTCAAATTTTTGTGATTAAAAAAAAAACATTTACAGAACGGATTAACCTTATTTACATTGAACCTTATGGGGGAATTTGACTTGGCTTGGGACCAATTCGGGTAGTGACTAGAGTCGTGGAATGGATTAAGTTCGTGAGCCAAGGTACTGCTGTATTGGCATTTCCTGCTGTGTCCTTTCTAGAAATTCCACCAATTGTTGAATCATAGATGGCTATGTATCTCCTGCATGGATTATAGGACCATAATGTTCTCAGCTATCCCAGGAGTTTCCTTGCACAAAATGTGAAGATCCTAGGGTTAAGTTACTCTTACACTTAAAATCTAGATTGATACATTTATCTTAATACATATATAGTGATAGGAATGTACAGTCATTGTGTTTTCTTGCTCAGGTGAATGAAAAAAATCCTTTATCTTCTGCTGTTTGTGTAATTTTCCTGAATGCAGGAAAATAGTTTCAAAGCTATGTATGTGAAGAACAGTCAGTTTGCACTAAAAACATCTTTTTATTTGATTAAATAAGGTGTTTAGTAGAGAAAGGAACCGTAGTTATAAGGATCACTGCCTAGTAATCCAGTGGCGGACAGTGTTTCTTGTCATCTTATCGCCTTTTTAACTTATGTGTATGCTGGCTTGAAGCATTTATAACTTGAGGACCGCTCCAACGTATGTTACATTACAGCATATACGTTTGCTCCAGTTCTGTGGCTTTCTTTGTAGTACCTGTGACAATAAGTAAGCCTTTGCTTCTTTCTCAATTGTTTTGTTTCCCTATGTAATATCTAAAAGAGAGGTCTACACTGTGCTACTTATATTTGCCAAATATATATTAGAACACATTTGAAATTTCAGGGTACATCTGCTATCCTTGGTTAGGGCATCATCAAGGCAAGCTGGAGCATGTCACCACTAGCATACTTTTGAATTGGCTTGTTTGCTGTTTGAAAAGTCAGACTGCCTTGTCCGAAGATGGCACTCTCATTTTCTGTTGAAATTGCAAGTTAACATACCTATTTACTTGCAATTTTTTCTTGGGATAGGCATGCCAGTAGACAAATCAAATGCATCTAATGTAGCTGCTTTTAAATACATTTATACCTCAAGAGAGACTTACAAGTAATTGTTCTAGCTTGCTCCCTGAAATAGTAAATGGGTTGCCATGTTGCTTTTGTGTTTCATGTCTCCTTTGTGGGTGTGTGCACAACAATGGGGAAAGAGAAAACAAGGGAAAAATTTGGGAAAAAATGATTGAACAGCCACACAGGGCACCACAGGTTCCTGTCAGCATAAATTGGGAAATGTACTACTATTATATTTGTTTTGTAGAACCCTCTTTATTTCTGTATTTCTTAAAATAGTAATATAATGAACTGGTATATTGCAGGTCAAATTAAACAGTTTCAAAACTGTAATTATTTTTATGGAAGTATGTGTGTATAAAATACATTTTTACCTTCCTGAAGCATAAATGCTAAGTCTCTACAAGGCGAAGCTTATACAAATGGCTACGTTTTCCTAGCCCATCTTGTTGAAGAAAAGACACATATAATAAAATACACATAAACCAGATCCAGTGGGACTGTAAGTAGACAGAGGACTGCAGTCTTCGGATTTAGATAGAAAAAGTCCTACAAACTCCCAGCATTCTTCAGTTAAACATGCTGACTGGGAAATGCTTGGAAAGACAGCTTTTTTGGTTAAAGCATTAATAGAATTGTGACATCCGGTCACTTCCTTCTTTGATGCATGCACGTCTTTCAAAACAGGACATTACATGCATCCAGTGTGCAGCAGTGATCTTCACTGCCACCATGCCATGAGCCTTGCATTTTAACTAGATGGCCATTTTTGGGAAGGGAAGGTGCTATTTGGGTTAGGTTCACTTGCATGATGTTGGATGGGGCCTGTTACAGCTAAATCACCTGAAATTATCTGTTGAAAACTGTTTTACTGCAGTAAGGTACCTTAGATTGCAGTGAAAGTACATCTAATAACATCACCATTTTCATTGTTCTGCCAGTAAAGCCAGCATTCAACTGAATGACTTGGCTTGTGCATAATAAGAAGCCATGATGGGTGAATTTCCCTGCAAGTTTTCTTACTGTAGTGTTTGCTGTCATTTTGTGTATTTGAGCCATGACAGGGTTGTGCAATAGTTTGTCATCTTTGAACCTGATGGAGGTAGGTGGTAGTAGTAGTAGGATTGTTTTTGGTTTAGAAGCCACTCAGAACCCATGGGCTGTTTTCAGGTTGTAGGTGCTTGTTAAACATTCTGACAGCCTACCCTCACTGGGTTGCCTGGGACAACAAGCTACAGCATGTCTTTCATGGCTCAAATGTTCAGAATGGTAGCCACCTTCACAACAGAAAGCCTTGCGGGGAAATTCATCCAGCATGGCATCTCATTACATGCAAACTGGGCCAGCAAAGATCTGTTGTGTTCTCTCCATTCTAACAGAGAACAATGGAGATCCCGAATAAAGGATTTGTTTGTCTATGTTGTGTGTTTGCTGCTAGGCACTAGTAACAAACACCATTAAAATAGCCAGGTTGCTTGTCTGTCTAAGCTGTGTGTCAGTTGGTCACATCACACAATGTGCAATAACACAGTTACGTCACATGTGAGTGAGGCTGTAATCTGTGTAGCTCTAGTAGGCCTTATGTGACATCTGAAAGCTTCTACCAAGGCTGTATAAGACCATCCTACCCTGCCACATTTTAATGAGTAGTTGTGCTCACTGTTCAGGAACAGAAATATCCCATAGATGACAAAATATCAAATGAACATACACTTTTCTGACTCTTTCCAGAATGAAGACTTTTAATTCATGAATATTAACAATTTGCTTGTTCTTCCATTTTCTCCCTTCTAGAAAACAATTGGAGTGTTTAAACCAAAATCTGAAGAGCCTTACGGTCACTTAAACCCAAAATGGACCAAATATTTTCATAAAATCTGTTGTCCCTGCTGTTTTGGCAGAGGCTGTCTTGTTCCTAATCAGGGATACCTTTCTGAAACTGGTGCCTCTCTTGTGGACAATAAACTGGGATTAGGAATAGTACCTAAAACAAAGGTAAGAGTGCTTTGCAGCAGGACTGGCCCTGTCAATATAAGATTTTACAGCCTGCATTAAACTGTGTAACTTCACAGAAGCAAAATACATTCACCCAACTATTCCTAATATACTGGAGGGAGTGGGGTTGTGTTTCATAACACTTCTGTGAGAACTTTCATGTGAATTAGTTTTTCCAGCTGGGTTTCTTGTGAAACCGTTCCTTAGGTGTCTTGTACTTTACCACAGAATGGGCTGTGGTAAATATTTCAGCCACCAGCATTCATGTATACTATTATTGTTTATCCCATCATACAGCCTAGTACATCCTCAGGGAGGCAAAGTGGCAATAGTAACAAAACAATTACACTTTGTAAACCTTGATAAAAGAGCTATACAATTAAATCAGTAATTGCAAGCTATTTAAAACTACAGGGGAAAAAAAACTCTGCTCAACAGCATGAAGAGATGATGAAATAAAATGTTTTAACTGATTTTAAGAACATGAGGACAGAACATGCTGAGTTTCCATAAGAAGAGAATTTCAAAATGAGGATCCTGCTGATCCTTGTACCTGCTGAAATGACCTCTTTCAAAATGGGGAATTGGTGTGAGGTGCCCTCCAGAGATGTCAATGTCAGGGAGAAAGAGCTGACTTAGGTAATTGAGCCTTGTTTATTTAGGATTCAAAGGTTGAAAACAGCATGTTGAATTGTGCCCATAAACAGGTATGGGAGCCAATATATTAGGTTTAAGGTGGCCTTAAATATGCTTCCTTCAGATAACACACTCAGTTTAAAGAAATTGAAACATTTAGACATCTCCGCTTAAAGCAATAGTTCAACCTAGATCTTACATTTTCATTCTGTCTCACACACGCAGACGCACAGTGTCCTGGGCATCATTTTCTTGCAGTAGCTAAGTTGATGGAAAGTACTGTTTGGTCACAGCTACCTGATTTGAGGAACAATGCCAGATCCAGTAGGGATCTATACATCTAATTGTTCAACAGTGTGACCCCATTTAATACAAGTAAACCACAAATTCCCAGATCATCCAAAGCCTTTTGCATTGGTACATATACCTCAGCTTATCTCATTTTAACTGATGAGAACTGTGTATATAGCCTCAATAGACTATGCCACTGACCATTTACACACATTGTCAGGGGTGGTCTATCTCTGAATTTTGACTTTATGTTCTGTCTCTGTTAAGGGATAGCAATGATTTTTGTAGCTATAAGTACAATCGCCAAGTGCAACATGAAACCCTACTTTTCCTTGTATGTTTTAAGGTTGTCTGGATTGTTAGTGAGACCTTCAATTATACTGCAATAGATCGTGCAAAATCAAGAGGAAAAAAATATGCTTTAGAAAAAGTGCCAAAGGTTGGCAAAAAATTTCATCGAATAGGACTACCTCCCAAGGTAAATATTTAAATTGCTTTATTCTGATAGTATCTCTGGGTATCATCATGTTTTTGGGTACGCAGTAGTCCCTGAGCTAAAACAGTTTGTCTGGGTTAATTCGAAATAAAACTAGACAAGATCAGTAATCCATTCATTGCCTCTTGACCAGTATCTAAAAATGCACAGTTAATTTCCTTTGGCCAAGGGAACATGGGGCTTCAGTTTCTTGAATAGTTGTACAATATGCCTTACTCTTTTGAAACTGAGGGGGTTGTTTAAAAACTGTAAGATGATGTTGGGAGTAGAACCTACTTCTCAAAGAAAAAAAAATCTTTAATTATGTCTAAGCCTATGGCTTGTTCAGCAAGAATATCTGTTTTGTATTCCTGTTATTTCTTCGATATAACTATTGCTGTCATATTTTCTAACTGATATTTATTATGGTCAGAGTTGTTATGATTTCTGTATAATTGCTTTTGCTCAAAAAATCCAACAGATGATACTGGGAAGATAACTAGACTCACAGAAAATACAGGCAGGCTTGTCTACTACACGTAAGAGCAATAGTACTATATATGGTACTGGGTATAAAAGTATGTTTCTTGGAAAAACTCTGATTTAATTAAATAGAAGCACTTTTGTAGCCCTTCTGGCTGGGAAGGTGTTCAGGAAATTGTGTATAAATTGTATGATGAAATCATAGATGGCAATAAAGCTATTAACATTTTCCATGGCTGAGGTGGGACTTTAATGAAGCTCAATCCCTCATGATTAGCAAAATCAGAATAAATAAGTGAAGTGTAGAGAATTTAATCTCTATGCTTTTTACAAGGTCTTAGCATCCAAGAAATCCAAATTCAGAATTTGAATGTTTTACAATGGTGTAGAAGAAATCCTTCATAAAAAATAAAGTAACTTCTGTGCTGTCATGACTGCTTTGCTTTATCATAAGATAATCTCATTTCTCTTTTCTGGCTTTTGTTAAAATATTTAGCCTGTATATTATTTTTATGCTGCCCAATATCTTGAGCTCCTATAACAGTGGTGGCGAACGTATGGCATGTGTGCTGCAGTGGGCACACAGAGCCCTCTCTCTCAGCACGCAAGCCAAGTCACCCCAGCATCACCCCAGATAACAGCGCACATAGGGGCCATGCTCATGCTTGGCAAGGAGTCACGGTGCCAGGCGATGATGTCACAAGCCATGACTCATTAGCCATGGATTGTCTGAGCTTTTGCATGGCCAGTCAATGTACTACATTGACTGGCCATGCAATATATATATATATTTGCTTGAACTGGCTGTGAGCTGTTTTTTCTAAACTAAAACCTCAGTATTCAGGTTTTATTGCAGTGTTGGCACTTTGAGATAAATAAGTGCGTTTTGGGTTGCAGTTTGGGCACTCAGTCTCTGAAAGAGTCGCTATCACTGTCCGATAACTTCAATTTAATAGGTAATAGTTCTCAGACTTGAACCTGAATTAATTCATGACATCAGATTGGTTTCAAATCTAACATTTGTTACATTTCTTAAAAGCATAGGCTTAAAAAAGATCTTCGACTATGTGTAAATTTAGTGTGGTACATTAGTTCAAATATTAGCTAATTTTAGTGTCAGTCTGGTTTTCCCCCCTAAATGCAGGAATTATTTTAAATTGCAGGTTGGCTCCTTTCAGCTGTTCGTTGAAGGTTACAAAGAGGCTGACTTTTGGCTCAGGAAATTTGAAACGGATCCTTTGCCTGAAAATACAAGGAAACAGTTTCAGTCACAGTTTGAAAAATTGGTTGTGCTTGATTATGTCATCAGAAACACTGGTATATAATTTCTATTATACTTGTTTGATCATACTATGTCAATAATATCAAACTGAGAAACAGAAAAAGAGGTCATCTGAGGAATCCATTCTAAATTTCTGTCAGAGCTTTTACCGCATGTATGACTGCATATAGTGCTATTAAAAATGGCAATTAATGTGAAGGTTATTTTTGGAAGTAGTTTAAAACAACTTTGTCATGTTGGTACTTTTGGAAAGCTGGTATCAGTGCTTGATAGTACTTGATAGGCTGATTCTTGTCTTGAGTCTTCAGATTATGTAAGATAACTGTGTATAAAAAAGTAAAGAATATTATTTAGGATCCTGATTAGGATCCTGTTAGTAGTAGTTAGTAGCTCAGCAGGTGATTTCCTAAGGTATCCAAAAACTGAAATGCCACAACTGGCTTACATAAAAGGAGAGCAGTGGTTTTATCTGCTCCTTCATCATGTGTTAATTGTTGTTAATCTATGGAACTAACTATTCAACTGAGCAAAAGAATATTATTTATCAATGGTGAAGCTACAGTATATCACAGAAGTGAGTGATATAACCCCTCACATTTTGTAAATATTATATCTTTTCATGTGGCAACCCTGAAGAAATGACACTTTGCTACAATGTAAAGAAGTGAGTATACAGCTTGTATAATGGTGTAAATTTGCTGTCCCCTCAAAATAACTTAACACACAGCCATTAATGTCTAAACTGCTGGCAACAAAAGTGATTACACCCCTAAGTGAAACTGTCCAAATTGGGCATTATTAGCCATTTTCCCTCCCCGGTGTCATGTGACTTGTTAGTGTTACAAGGTCTCAGGTGTGAATGGGGAGCAGGTGTGTTAAATTTGGTGTTATCACTCTCACTCTCTCATACTGGTCACTGGAAGTTCAACATGGCACCTCATGGCAAAGAACTCTCTGAGGATCTGAAAAAAAGAATTGTTGCTCTACATAAAGATGGCCTAGGCTATAAGAAGATTGCCAAGACCCTGAAACTGAGCTGCAGCATGGTGGCCAAGACCATACGGCGGTTTAACAGGACAGGTTCCGCTCAGAACAGGCCTCGCCATGGTTGACCAAAGAGGTTGAATGCATGTGCTCAGTATCATATCCAGAGGTTGGCTTTGGGAAATAAATGTATGAGTGCTGCCAGCATTGCTGCAGAGGTTGAAGGGGTGGTGGGTCAGCCTGCCAATGCTCAGACCATACGCCGCACACTGCATCAAATTGGTCTGCAGGGCTGTCATCCCAAAAGGAAGCTTCTTCTAAAGATGATGCACAAGAAAGCCCGCAACCAGTTTGCTGAAGACAAGCAGACTAAGGGCATGGATTAGTGGAACCATGTCCTGTGGTCTGATGAGGCCAAGATAAACTTTTTTGGTTCAGATGGTGTCAAGCATATGTGGCAACAACCAGGTGAGGAGTACAAAGACAAGTGTATCTTGCCTACAGTCAAGCATGGTGGTGGGAGTGTCATGGTCTGGGGCTGCGTGAGTGCTGCCGGCACTGGGGAGCTACAGTTCATTGAGGGAACCATGAATGCCAACATGTACTGTGACATACTGAAGCAGAGCATGATCCCGTCCCTTTGGAGACTGGGCCACAGGACAGTATTCCAACATGATAACGACCCCAAACACACCTCCAAGATGACCACTGCCTTGCTAAAGAGGCTGAGGGTAAAGGTAATGGACTGGCCAAGCATGTCTCCAGACCGAAACCCTATCGAGCATCTGTGGGGCATCCTGAAATGAAAGGTGAGGAGCGCAAGGTCTCTAACATCCACCAGCTCCATGATGTTGTCATGGAGGAGTGGAAGAGGACTCCAGTGGCAACCTGTGAAGCTCTGGTGAACTCCATGCCCAAGAGGGTTAAGGCAGTGCTGGAAAATAATGGTGGCCACACAAAATATTGACACTTTGGGCCCAGTTTGGACAGTTTCACTCAGGGGTGTACTCACTTTTGTTGCCAGTGGTTTAGACATTAATGGCTGTATGTTGAGTTATTTTGAGGGGACAGCAAATTAACACTGTTATACAAGCTGTATACTCACTACTTTACATTGTAGCAAAGTGTCATTTCTTCAGGGTTGTCACATGAAAAGATATAAAATATTTACAAAATGTGAGTTGTGTACTCACTTCTGTGATATACTGTAGACTGTTTTGTTGACTGAAGACTCCTAGCCACTGTAGACAGGTTTCCTTAAGAGCCTCCTTTGCTCTTTCTTTGCCTAGTCTGGGGCAGGTGGGGAGACAACTACCGCTGAAATTGCATTTTTAAAAGATAGCTGTAACTATTGAGGGCAAGTAATGGATATGGGGCATTAGTTCTCTGAGAAGTGATCATAGGATAAAGTTAGTCTTCCTAAACTACAATGTCCATGCCAGCTGTTTAGATCAGAATGAAAGCAAGTTTCTTTCCTTTTCAAATTCTTAAAGAGCAGTTGACTCTGAACCGTTTTGTCTCTTATGAGAAGATGACAATGTGGATGTGGTTTTTACCTGTTTTGAAAAAGGAACCCAGGTATTTCTGGAAATGCCTGTTTTAGCACAGAGATGATCAACTGGTTGGAGGGCAGACAGATGAAATAAAAACCTACAGTGATGCTCAAAATATAAAAGGGTCATCAGATAAACATGTTCTTACCAGTGCTGCTTTATGAAAAGAAAAAACCTTGGGTTGCTATTTTGATGTAATTTATTGTCCTTTTCTTCCTTTAAGATGATAAATTAGAATCCTTAATTTCAAAGATATATTCATTCTGATAGATACCTGTATTTCACTAATTGTGCTTTCCCTGCACCTTTTTTTTTTTAAGACAGAGGCAATGACAATTGGTTAGTCAGGTATGAAAAGCAGAATGATGGGATTGACCTTTCTGATAAGGTAAGACAAAGGGTGCTTGAGTTTACATAATTTGAATGTTGCAGGGTAAATTAAATAGTTGGTGTGGTCCGGAATGGATTATGGTCTTTGCCATCTGGTTCCTTACTTTCTCATCCTATTCCTGTTATGGAATGTGATATAATATGATAGGTATGCATTAAAAAGGATCACCAGACATTCAAAAAGAAACTGGACAGCCATCTGAGTGAGATGGTATAACTTGGTGTCCTGCAACAGCAGGAGGTTGAACCCGATGACCTTCATGGCCCTTTCCAACTCTACTGTTCTATGATTCTATGCAATTCCTATGACATATATATATATATATATACACACACACACACATATATATTCAAGTTATGTACATTTTTCAACTTTTGCTTTTGCTTGCTGATACAATGTTTCAAATTCACTCATCTTTGTCATAAAGTAAAAGATTGAATGTATGCCATTTGCTAGCTATATTCTGACATGTTCAAATTATTTTTCCTCCAGGATATCCAATGGCTTAATGAAAAGGACCCTATTATTAAAATAGCAGCAATTGATAATGGTTTAGCTTTTCCTTTCAAACATCCTGATGAGTGGAGAGCATGTGAGTTTGTTTAATGTTAATTGCCTACTTAAAAGAATATAACCTCAGTTTTCATATGTGTGGGCTTCTATTTCTAGGGAAAGTTTGTGTGGTTTTACTTTATAGCAATTATATATCTTTCTCCTAGATGGCACAATGTATCATATAGGTAGTGTTGTTTCTCATATGAACTCTCTGCATGCTAAGAGCTACTGGAAGTGCCTTACTTTGCATCCTATATCTTTTAGTGAAGTTAGTAAGCAAACAGGATGCCACCTTTGCTATGAATGTGTTGGCCAAATTTGGAAATTTCTGTCAGATTCTTCTGTTAGGTCACTCCCTTGAGCTTTTCTCCATTGATGAAAGCTTGAATTGTTTTTGAAAAAGTAAAGAGAGCATACTGGTAGTGATTAATTGTTGGAATTATCAAATGTATAATTCATTTTGGATTTATTCATTTTGTATGATTTAATTGTTAAATTGCCAGACGTGACTGATAAAAAGAAAAATGAAGAATGCTTCTTTCAGTTATAAAATGTTCTTTCAATCTGTGAATTGACATAATGGAAAGAGAGAAATGCTATGTTAAGTTTTAGCAAGAGGTTAAGGTTGCATAAAGTTGCGTTTCCTGAAATCATTGCATTGAACAATCCATCTGAAAATAAATGTAGTATGTTAATTTGGGAAATGTCTCCTTTCACCTCCCCCTTTGCTTCATACCTATTAGATCCATTCCATTGGGCTTGGCTTCCACAAGCAAAGGTCTCTTTTTCACAAGAGACAATAGATTTGATTCTTCCTCGAATTTCTGACATGAACTTTGTACAGGATCTTTGTGAGGATCTTTATGAACTATTTAAGGTAACTTCAGAAATAAACTGGGCATAGCTGCTTAAAACAACTTCTAATAGATGGCAAGAAATTTAAATATTTATTCTCTGAATCAACTATATTCAGAGTTTGCAAAATAAAAGACAAAGCTAATTGGACACTTCACAATATGTTTTCTTAATGGCTTATATGTTGTATGTCATTGTAAATCTGTGATTAATTTTAGATCTGACTTGAATTATGAAACTTTCTGAAATCTACCTCTTTATCTTTTAATAAAGACTGACAAAGGTTTTGACAAGGCAACTTTTGAAAATCAAATGTCTGTGATGAGAGGACAGGTAAGAATACTTTATTATATCAGCACTTTTAAAATGTATTTTTGCATTTGACAGCTGTAGACAATCTACTGTTCAAAAGCTTGTGGAGAATTGCAGCCTTAGCCAAAAACTGATTGTGTTGCAAAGTGTGTTGCATTTATTTAGATTTAGCAGGCTCTATCATGTGATGAGTAACTTTAAGGTCCTAAATGCACTGGAGACTAACGGGTAAGCCTTCCAACAATTGCCCACTGTCCCTGAGACACATTGGTGACAATGCTAATCATCATGGAATTAACTTAGCAAGGGATCACTAAAACTAAACTAAAACCAATTTAGGTGGTTATATGTAGCATTGCTTTGGTTCTTTGTGTCCAAATGGTCAATTGCTATATGGAGTAATATGAAAGAGTATCAGTTGTTGAAGTCTGCTCTGGTATTACCCATTTCATAGTGGTGAAAACTAACTTCTCTAAATATGCGAACTTGATATTATGCACCATACTATTTGCAGATACTTAACCTTACTCAGGCATTAAAGGATGGAAGAAGTCCTCTTGAGCTTGTTCAGATGCCCCGTGTCATTATGGAAAGAAGTCATGGTGGAAGTCAAGGACGAATTGTTCACCTGAGCAATACATTTACACAGACTTTTCATAGCCGGAAGCCTTTTTTTTCTTCCTGGTAGAAATTATTGTCTCCAACTTAGCAAGACTTTCTACTATGTAAACGATTCAGAATAGTGTAACTCTGCATACAACAGAGTGCTGGACTGCCAAAACCTCAGAACTTAAGTTTTGTATTTTGAATGTAATAAGTTTACAGTTTCTTTAAAATTGTGAAATTTTACATCAGGGAAATGAGGAGTTTGTCCTATATTGTATTTTTATAGACGGTTTAATGTTTTCTGTATTTAATAAAAGGGAAAAAATAAAGTTTACAGATGCCAAAGACTACTTTTGAATAAATTGTAGGAAAGAATTGTTCTGTTGAATACAAATTTCAGAAACCATGTCTAATTTGTTTGTTAGAAATAAAGCACAGCTTTTTCATTCCTCTACTGATGAGACAACTGCATGAAAATTCTCCTTTAACAGTAATTGATCAGTTGTTATAGTGGTTCTTAGTGATTTATGGACTCAGACATAACAAACTTGTCTCTTACCATTTGGATCTGGGACCAATATTATTGCATCTGCATTGGGAAAATGCAAGCATGGAAAAAGACTAAGTTAATCCCGCCATTTTAGAGGAAACCTAATTTTGACAAATTCTCATGCCTTATTTGGTTCTGAATGCACATATTTCTATAGGTTGCTCCTGTATCAAAGTCTTGCTTGAGAGCAGGATTATAAGCAAGTCTCAACCTATGCCCCTTACCATCACCACTTACTTAAAGTGCAATATATGTGTAACGTCTGTCCCTGCAGAAAAGGGGATAGATGGAGTGTTTGAGTGGGTCCAGTGAGAGAGTGAGTGTATGGGTTACTTTTGGGAGGTAAATTTAAATACTCTCAAACCCTTCTATCAAGAAATTATATGCAGGATTGGGAGAATCACCTCTTAAGTCAGTTCCAAGTATAGCTCTTTCTGCATTTTTCTTTCTCTCTGCCACACCTCTGCCAACAATTGAGACAATCATGGACCACTTCCTCGATGGAAATTGGAAAGATTAAGGCATGTGTAATGCCCTTTTAGTTATTGAAACTTAAAATATGCCAGAGGTGTATTTTTTGTTGTGGACCATGTTTAGAATTAGTGTTACAGGTCACATAGCTTGGCGCTTGTGGGGTGGGCATTGTCTGCATTGCTATGTTGTATGCTTTGGCCTTGACACTTCATAAGGATCTATGAGAAAAATAATATATTTTCTTTAGATTAGTATTTATGCTGCAGTTCCTCCACAATAGTAAAGGAAACCTACCACCCATGTCAATCAGATTTGTTGGCAACATCAAAATGGGTACCTTTCATTACTTACGGTATACTCCAACATGCCCCCAATACTGATATTCTAAGCACCCAAATGTGTGGTGAAGCAGAAGTGAATTCCTGTCTATTCGTCATAAGACATGTCAACAACACTAAGCCATTTTGTGGGCTTTAACTTGTGTAAAACATCAATTGCCATGAAATGTTTAGATTCATATACATCTATAGGAATTTTGATCTAAATTCAGTGTTATGTTTGAATGTGAGGATCTCAAGTAATATCAGTAGCAAATCCTGCTTTTATTAAGTTGTGTGTTCGGTATTTCCAGCAATGCTGTATCTTAAGCTGCTGATGAATATTCCTGAGGCCCCTTTAAAAAAAAACACTGGGTTTTGGTAAAACAGTTTGGCATGTTGGGAAAAATTTATTTGGTATACTAAAATGTGTAAGCCTTAAAATGTAATATTTTCTGTACTGTAGGAGTAGATGATAGTCATATTTATGAAAATACTGCGGTTTCAGTTTTTATCAATTCTCATAATTTTTTAAAGAATGTGTAAGATTACCAGACTTTGTTCTCTTAAACCAATAAAGCTCATGAATTCATGAAATTATGTTTTTACTATAACTGTCTTATTGATTCCATTTTATTTCCACAGGTTTAGGGTGGAATGAATGGGGTTTCCCTGTTCTATCCTTTTGTTGATTATTATGATGAAATTCATGTTATGAAATAGGTAGCCTAAGGTTACTCAGTGAAGTTCATGGCTGAATGGGAATTTTAAACTGGGCATCTGGTCTAAAATTTAACACATTCTGCATTAATGTTGCACTTCAATGTTATGCTATGCCTGCTAAATTTACTGTGTAATGCATGAAAAAAGCAAAGCCACTTGCTACTTTTTATGGACAGGTTCCAAAAGGGGGACATGGACAAAAAGTTAGGATACACCCCTCTTCTTATGAGAGATAATGAATCCAAAAAGCATAAGAATTTTTTGGGGGGGGGGCGGGGAGTGTGATACTGTGGTGTAGGACTTGGTGATATGTGGCCCTTCATAGCTTTGGCCTACATCTCCTATCATCCCTTACTATTGGTTATGCTGACTAGGTTTGATAGGAGTCATAGGCCAAAATATCTGGAGGGTCACAAGCTGCCCACCCCCATACTAATGTATTTAAGCTTACACTATATTCAGTGTAACTTGTAGCAGAGTGTATATGCCTTTGAATTCTTGGGCATGAGCAGAACTCAAGATCTGCCCAAATAAAATTTGTGAGTTAAGAACTTGGAAGCCCTCTTATTTAGGAGCAATTCCCTTGAATGTGGTAGAGTTTATGTACATGTAAACAAGCATTTATGCACAGTGCTTAGAGGATAGGCAAACTATTACTGTTTCAGTCCAAAGTTGCACAATTTTAGCCACAACCTCAAAATCTTGAAGGACGGGTATAAAATCTAAGGGTTAAGGATTTAGTTTCTCCCTTATGGTATCTTCAGGATCCCAACCTTCCCTATAAAGGTTGAAATAGAATTGTATAAAGCATTAAAAAATATTTAGTCCATGTGGATGGTAAGTTTTCACTTGAAAATTTCACTGTTGGCTTCACCCTTTAGAAAATACGAACATAATATGTATTAAGAGTTCATTGGATTGCATAGCTGTATAATCTCTGTGTGCTACTTTAAATGAAAAGTGTTAGTTTTAAAATACTTGCTTGGAGCAAAGACATGGGAACTGCTACAGGCAAGTGGGTTGATTAGTTCTTGGAAGTGAAATGCACAGAACCCCCTGAGGGCCTAGACTTTCACAAGCATGCTTCTGAAATTGGTTATAAACTGGTTACACGAGAGAGAAGTCCTCCAGAGGTCATGGGTAGGAGCTATGACTGAGGCCAAGGCTCCTAGTCTTATCAAGCTACATGGATCTATGTCTAAGATAAAACATAAAACTAATGTTAGATGGAAAGTTATAAAAAGTAAGATTTTGGCTTGGCTGAACAGAGAAATTCTTAGAGACAGAAAAGCCTCCAAACATTTCCTAATTTCTGTCTTATATGTCTGGCATACAAGTAAGATATCAGTACTAATAATTCTTTTATTCCCATTTTATAATAAATGAGAATAATTCTAGGTGAGGTCTCTATATGTGAACAATTTACTGCATAGGTGTTAAATTTATCCTGGAACATGAGGTTTACTTAGTTATAAAACTGAAAAAAAGCAAAATTTTCCAAAATTTTTCTTATTTAACGATAGTTGTGCTAAATAGAAAGCTAGTCAAGTTTTCAAACATAATTCACATCATGCAACATTTGTCTATGCTTCCATAAATTTACCTGGCGTGTCTCACTGCTACAATGTAAGGATAATACTGAACACAAAAAGATATCACACACACAAAATGTTGGGATAAGATATAGGTGAAGTAGTTTTTCCTCTTCAGTGTTCACTTTCACTATTTATTGGTTATTGAAAAAAATCAGAGACACTCTATTTCCCCATGTACTCTGATCAACAGTGATTATCAACAGTGGTGCAACAGAACTTAAGGCTGAAATCCCACACTCACTGAATGTTGTTGTTGTTGTTAGTTGCGAAGTTGTGTCCGACCCATCGCAACCCCATGGACAACATTCCTCAATGGCTTCCTGTCCTCCACCATCCCCTGTAGTCCACTTAAGCTCAAGCCGACTGCTTCCATGACTCCATCTAGCCACCTCATTCTCTGCCGTCCCCTTCTTTTGCCATCTATTACATTAAGCTCTTCTCCAGGGAGTCCTTCCTTCTCATTAGGTGGCCAAAGTATTTGAGTTTCATCTTCAGTATCTGGCCTTCTAAAGAGCAGTCAGGGCTGATCTCCTCTAGGACTGACCAGTTTGATCGCCTTGCAGTCCAAGGGACTCGCAGGAGTCTCCTCTAGCACCACAATTCAAAGGCCTCAATTCTTCAGCGCTCAGCCTTCCTTATGGTCCAACTTTCACAGCCATATATTGCAACTGGGAAAACCATAGCCTTGACTATACGCACTTTTGTTGGCAGGGTGATGTCCCTGCTTTTTAGTATGCTGTCTAGATTTGCCATAGCTTTCCTCCCAAGGAGCAAGTGTCTTTTAATTTCTTGGCTGCAGTTCCCGTCTGCTGGGATCTTGGAGCCCAGGAAAATAAAAGCCAATTTTTGTGTTCACCTCCTTCACCTCATCAAGAGGCTCTTTAGTTCCTCTTCACTTTCTGTGATTAGAGTGGTATCAGCTGCATATCTGAGGTTGTTGATATTTCTCCCCACAATCTTAATTCCAACTTTCGATTCATCTAGCCCCACCTTTCTCATGATGTGTTCTGCATGTAAGTTAAATATGCAGGGCGACAATATACAGCCTTGCCGAACTCTTTTCTCAATTTTGAACCAATCAGTGGTTCTGTGTCCAGTTCTCACTGTTGCTTCTTGATCCACTAAATTTAGTGAGACTGAAATCTGAGTACACACGTACTCCAAAAGCAGTAAAATGTATTGGGGTGGGCAAGCTTTGACCCACATGTGTTAATTTTCTGGAAGAGATAACCTTATATTTCATATTAATGCCCCAACCCCTAAATGCATTTTAAGTAAGTTCAGTGGCTTTGATGGAGTTAATGTCTTAGTAAGCTGGCTTATAATTGTATCCTTACTTTAACACGTGGCTAGGGTTTAGTTACAATTTTCAGAAAGATCCAGAAACTGGGTGTTATGTCCCATGGTTTTACAGATGAGATTAGAGACCAGTTGGTATCATAGAACAAATTTTATTGCTTGCACAAGGACCAGCACAATCTCACAAGGGTAGGATTGAGTGCCGGCCCCTCGTAGAGAGGTAGCAGAATTTTTATACCCGGTTACACACACACAAAAAAAGGAAAATCGTTTCTTGGCAGCATAAAGCAAGCTAGCATGATTTACAGAAGCGAGAGGATTTGCAGCTCTGATACAAAAAAGCGGAGCAACCTTGCAGTTTGTCTAACTTCTGATAACAGCGGTGAAGCTCTGCAGCTGGTCTATCTCCTGATAAGAGCGGGGAGGCTCTGCAGCCGGTCTATCCTTTTAAGTTTTTACCCCTTTGATGAAACTTGCCTATTGTGCTGACCCCAATACACAACTGATAGCCTCCTGCCAGGTGGGTGGGGCCCAACACTGGGGAAGGCATTTGCTGACCCCATAGTTGCTTCTGTGTTGAATGGTTTTGTTATTTTAAATTAATTTTTGTGTGTCTTGTTAACTTTTAACTTCTGTTAACCGCCCAATGAACCTCCGCTATTGGGCTGTAAAAATGAAATAAAGGAAGAAGCGGAAGTGCAACTATGAAGCCACACCCTTGAGTTTACAAATGTGAGCAGAGCTGTCACAGACAGAACATTTTAGAAAGCATTCATTCATAGGATCGCCCTAGGTCTGAGATACCTTGAGGCAGGTAACAATACTCCACTCTCCAAGTCGGTGTTTTTCGACTGTGTTGAACTACAATTCCCAGCATCCTTCAGTCCGCATGCCCTATTTCACCCTTCCACAAGCTTGCGCCTTCCAGATATGCTTGGAGTGCAACACGTAGAATTCCCAGTCAATGGCCCTGCTGGATGAGAATCCTGGGAACTGTGGTCCAAATGCTTCTGAAGGGCAGCAGGTTGAGGAAGCCTGCACTCGTTTATCTGCTGCCCGCCTACGGTCTGGAGGTTCCAAACTGAGCAGGAAGCAAGGGGCGCGGCTTGTGTTCTTCGGTATCTTCTTCGGAGATCTCACTCCGGCGATGGCTGCTGGGAAACAAACATAGAGCGAGGAAAAAGGGAGGAGATAGTCTTCTGTCAGAGTTCTGCTATGCTGTATATGGGTCAGGAGTGCTGTGTAAGGGCTCGGCAAAACATAGAGATAGATAAATATAGAGATAAATAGAAGTAAGTAGAGGTAAACATAGAGTTAAATAAAAGTATTAATTTCTATGGCTACCCGCAATCTATGTAGCGCGTTGTTCTGTTTTCCAGTACTGCTTGTCACGTGTTCTATTCGTCGGGAACTGGAAGTGTTGGTTCCACGGCGCCGGAGTGAAGCCTTAAAAACGAAGAAACCATCTCTCGTGCCCGCCTTGCGTGCGTTGGGAAGGATGGACATGGGACCGCGCACCGGGATGGCCGTGGTGCTTGATGGGAACTCCAAAACCCCTGCTCCGCATTGCCCTCATGGTGAGCTAGGGCAAGCAGTTCGGCTCGCTTTTTCATGCTTTTGCTCCCACATACGCGCTCGCTCGCTCGCTCGCTCGCTCGCTCTCTCTCTCTTGGGGTGGTTAAGCGTGGCGAAAAAACACTTAGTACTAAAACCTTTGGAAAAACAACGCTGTCGGGTAGGAGTCAGTCAAATATAAGGTTGCCTAATTCCTGTTTATTTCAGTGTGAGAGTTCGAGAGTGCACCCCTATACATACGTGCTCAGAAATAAGTTCCATTGCACGAAGTGGGACTTGCTTCCAGGTGATTATGTACAAGGTCTAAGGTTTAAGCGCATGCTGATGATTTCTACTGAACCAGTGGGGCTTAAAAGTACTTGCCTTTTGGAGGAGATAATGTGACAGGATGGCATAAGCTACGTAGTGCATTAAATCCTGCATGCCCATCTTTAACATTTTGCTTCCTTTTTCACTAACAATACAAAAAGATTCGATTTCTGGGTTGTTTGATGTGATAACTGACTCTGGAACTTCTGGTTGTTGAGGGGAAAACAAACCAAATATTTAACCCAGAGGTCCTCAAACATTTTAAACAGGGGGCCAGTTCACTGTTCCTCAGACTGTTGGGGGATGGATGTACTATAGTTTGAAAAAATATGAACGAATTCCTATGCACACTGCATATATCTTATTTGTAGTGCAAAAAACAGAAAAAACAATACAATTTTTAAGATGAAGAACACTTTTAATCAACATAAACTTATTAGTATTTCAGTGGAAGAGCCAGTGTGGTGTAGTGGTTAAGAGCATGGGACTGGGACTCAGACGATCTGGGTTCTAGTCCCTGCTCAGCCATGGGGCCAACTGGGTGACTTTGGGCCAGTCACAGACTCTCAGCCCAACCTACTCACAGGGTTGTTGTTGTGGGGATAAGATGGAGGAGGAGACTGATGTAAGCTGCCTTGAGCCCTTTGTAGGAAAAAGTCAGGATATAAATCGAAAAATAAGGAAGGAAGGAAGGGTCTGATTTTGGCTAATGAGATGGTCAATGTCCGGTTCCATATTCTCTCCTCTCTTCTGTATTTAGAGCCAACACATGCGTGCAATAGGGGGAAGAGGTGGCGCATGCGCAATTCAAGACCAGCACAGCAGCAGGAGCTAGCCAGAGCTATCAGAGAGAGTCGGCACACGCGCAGTTGAAGGGAGCTGTTACAATTTGGCGCGTGCATCGGCTCTCTGATAGTCTCCAAAACTGAAAGAGTTTCAGAGTACGCCTGTGCCAGCTCAGAGCTTTTGGACTTGTTCGGAGATCGTTTTCTCTGAATGAATCCAAAAGCTCTGAGGCGGGCCGGGGAAATGACCCTGTGGGCTGTAGTTTGAGGACCCCTGATTTAACCCAACAACAAACCATGACTTTAGGTTTGTTCTTCAACAACTTGGAAGTCTGGGTTTGGAAGCTCCATTAAACAATCCAGGTATGAAGCATTTTGGGGGGGTTTGATGGAAAGCAGGAATGAAACTTGCTTGCTGTTGTGTGGTTTCAATAACCCATGTTTTAAAAAATCCATGGATTGCTGTTACATGTGAATGGGACCAATTTGATATAGATGTTATACAGCAAGAAGCATTAAAAAATTACAAGACTGTGCAACAATCCAATTGGAATTTCAGTACAATCCAAAATACAAAGTAGACTCACATTCCAAACCAGCATTCTTCCATGTTAATGTCTGGTCTCTTACATGTTCCTGTTGGCTTTACTTCCCTCATTAAGTAGTCCAGTACTTCAGTCCCTTAAAATTTGCTCTTAACAATGGAAAGAATTTGAAATTTGAGCAGTACAGTTTCTAAAGGGTTGCATTATGATCAATGTTTACCTGAAAATTGAAGCAAAAGCACGAAATATCCCACTCATGCCTGCACCAGAAGAAAAGGGGGGAACTCATGAGCAAGAGGATGATCAATGTAACATTAAACTAAGCTTTTGTTCAAATACGCAAAACCTATTTCAGCCTGAGGGCCAAATTCCATCTTGAACAAGTTCTTGGGGATTGCTTTCCGGTGATGGTAAAAGCGAAAGGGTGGGCTTAAAAGAGCTACTTGTTTTGGCTTAAAGCTCTTATTGTCAGTTGTTAAACCTTAAGAGTGGTGTTTCAGTCTTTTGGAGCTGGAAAAAAGCTGAACAAATATTTAAAAGATTAATTGATTGGTGGTTGGCAGAAAGGATATGTGGCCAGGAGAAGGGGGTATAGCTAACTGGGGCCTGGGACCTTCAGTGGAGCCATATTTGGCCCAGGGCCTGAGGTTCTACAGCCTTTGTTTAGTGTGATGGCCAGACATAGCTAATACCTTTATTAGGACCAACCCAAACTCACAATGTCCTTTAATATGCGCAATTTTATTTTCCAATATTGTATTGCAAACTGTATAGTCTTCATAAATTTAATCTGCCTACTACTACCCACAGATCATCCTAGAAAGATTCTTAAAGGATCAAGGGGAAACTGGAAGCCTGTTCTACTTTTACCTTTGACAATTTTTCACATTTGTAGTTAAGGACCTACATTCCACTGTTGCCAAATCAACTTCCTTTGAATTATTAGCTTGAAAGTAATTTGTTACACATCTCAAAAATTGGTGTTTACTATGAATTATTGCAGGACACTGTTGTCTTCCAATTTTCCTCCCTTTTTCATTTTTTTGATTATATATATATTTAAGGCCCAACTCTACTGTTTGCAAAAATTCTTGAAGGGAAAGAAGAAGGGAGAAGATTTTATGCTTGTTCTGCTTGCAGAGAAAGAAAAGATTGTAACTTCTTTCAGTGGGAAAATGAAAAGGTAAGCTAAAAGAATAAGGATGTAGCAGTGTAAATTTATCCTTTCAATCTCAAAAGGCATGGTTGAATCTAAGCTCAGCATTTTGGTGTTGCATTGATTTTAATGGCTGATTGAAGCCCTCACTTCAATCTTTTTCTTGAAAGCAATTTCAGAATATTAAACTGTGCTGAGTCTCTGATCATAACTTTTAAAACTCTGGTGAGTAAGCAGACTGCTGAGGAATTGAATCATTCTCTCTCCTGACCCCCCACTTGAAAATGTAAGAAAAGGTTAGCAGCATGGAGCCCTCCAGATGTTGGACTATAAACCTATCATCTAACCATTGCTCATGATGGCTGAGGCTGATGGAAGTTGGAGTCCAGCAACATCTGGAGGCCCATAGATTCTCCACCCCTGACCCAAGAGCTGATTTACTGGAAAAGCATTCCTTACTGGAAAGCAACTATTCCTTGAGAATAGTTGAAAGAAACCAGCTTCTAGCTCAGTGGACAGTTATTGTACAATGCTTTGCATGTCTGTACATACATTCTCCCCTTCCCTATATTCAGTGCAGCTTGCTTTTCAGAAATTATGCATAGGATTGTAGGTTCAGAGTCTGTTGTACAGGATCACAGGAAGTAATGCTTAAAATAATCTTCATAGGATAACTACAATAAACTAGGCTGCCTTCAGATATCACACTAAATCAGTGTTCCAAAACCTGTATAAAACAGAGAAGGATCATATACCTCCTTGGGGGAAAGATAAAAGTATAATGAATTAAATAAATATGCCCCGGGGTACCCTTTCCTGATTGCAGCCTAAGTATTTGGAATTGACATTTCCATTAATGGGTACAAGATGACTAAGAAGCAGTATTTTTTCTTCCTTTTTACTCAAGGGAAGACCTGAAACATGTCTTGATTGGTTCTTGTGAACTATATTAATAATCTTCACAATTGCTTCTCAGGTATCAGAAGCTAGGCTCGCCACACGGGAAAAGTACAACCAAAGTCATCAGCCACCTTTCTCTCATACAGACAATGTGGAAAGGTATCGTTTGTGATTATATGCTTATTTTGGGTTTAAATTAATCAGAATTGTTTTATTTAACAATCGTATATGTTTTTAAGTAGCGATTTTGCTATCAACTTCATAAAGGATTGTCTAACTGAGCTGTTCACTGGTGGTGCAATATACCTGATGCTTCTCTTAAACATATTTTGACAATCTCCAGTGATTGCTTACTTTAGGGAGGTGTTCTCACAGGGATACATTTTGTACTGGAACTGTCTTCCGTGTTGACTAATATCCGCGTTCTTTTAAATTACTTAATTGTTTCATGAAAATTAACAAATGGTCATCATAAATGGATTCTTTGTGCCCTTTTGATAGCTAAAAGACTAGAATACAATGAATCAAGGTCCTGGCAATGTTTTCAGTATTTGAATGTGTGACATATAAATGACAACTTTGAGTCTGCTTTTTTTCTTTTTTCTATTTGCTAGAATGCTGTATGCATTTTATACAAATCTATGCATATATATATAAAATGAGGAAAGAAAATCTTTAATTGTAGGGGCAGTGTTCCACATATCAGGGGCTCCATTGTGGCCTTTCCATCAAGCATAGAAAGTCACAGTGTGTGCAGATGAAAAACAATGAAAATTGTAAACAGCTCTGCAGTTCTGTGCACTCTTGCTTGGAAACTGAATATTTGCATATATGGATGTATTCCCATTTTACTCAAAGCAAAGATGAATTCAAAGTTCAGTCCAAAGAGCTTCTCAAGACTGTTGTATCCAAAGGTTGTCATCAAAAATAGTATTTTGTCTGCAGATTTGGAAGATTAATCAGAAAATAGACAATTACTCTCAAATGTAGGCGTTGTAGAACACAGGGCAGAACCTCACTTCTGGGGGAGAAATGAACCCCTCTGGGATTCTCCAGAGAGCAACATTTCTTTTCTTGACCCCACCATCTTCACTCACCTATGAATCATTTGGGGTTTTCCAAGGGTTTGTGCAAGCTTTTACCATTCTGTGATGCCTCTCATAATGCTTACTTTCAGTAAGAGCTTTACAGTAAAATATGTCAGAATCTTCAGTATTTTTTTGCATTTTGGCCCCTTTGGCATTGCCCTTTGGCCTTTAACCCTGCACACCAGTGGAATGTGGCAGCTCAGGAGGTTCTTTGAAGTAGAATTTGGCCAGCAGGCTGCATCCCAAAGTGGGTTCTTCAGTATAACACCATTTTCCCCTATCTCCCATCATCCTCTGCCTGCATGACCAACATGAGCTGAATGCAGGGTCCTGCCCAAGAAGCTTATCACTGCTTTCCCCTGGTGTACCATGGTATGCATCTATAGATAGGTGGGGATGCACACCATGGTACAGTAGTGGAAAGCAAAGAATGGAGGTAAGCAAACACTGGTACAGCTCTGGTTATTCTTGACTTTGTGTTCTAATATAAGGTACAAGGAGTTTATCGTCTTGCCACAGTCAGAAAGGAAGTTTTGCAGAGAATGCCAGCAGCTGCTCCTGCCACAGGAATGGGGAAGACACTCTGGCCATCAAGTCCTCAACAGTGTGTCTTTTGCCCAGCTAAAAAAACCAAGCCAACTCCTCAGCCCTCTAGAGAATAAGAAGACAAATGCACAATATCTGTTTACTGACAGAAGTTGTCAGTTCTTGCTGGACCTTATTGTTACACAGGGATTCAAAAGGGTGCTTTGTGTTGGCACTCCAAGGTAAGTCCTCCCAATAATTTTTTTCCTAACAAAGGGATGTTGTTGGTCACTCTTAGCTTTTGTTTTTAGAAGTGTTTAAGGTACCCAGCATAGTTGAAACAGATAAGGGCACAATCCTATGCATATTTGGACAGAAGAAAGTTCCCACAGCTACTGACCAGGCCATCCTGAGAGTTGTAGTACTTCCTTTTCTGTGTAAACATGCATAGGATTGTGAGTTAAGGGCATGGTTTGTTTCTAAAGTTGAAAGTAAAGGAGAATCTTAATCTAATTAATCATTCCAGCAGCATCTAGTTAAATAATGAAAGAGTGCTTTGGGGAGGTTTGCCTGAAGAATTCAAAAAATCCACTGGAGGTATATATATTCAGTGATGGTTGTTGGTGAAGCGAAGCCTTAAAATGATGATATTATGAAACTGAAAATCAAGAAAATGTTATCAATTAATTAAGGAGTCCATTGGATATTTCTCAGCTTGGCATCAGCGGTTAACAAAGCATAGATGGCTTTAGGAGTGCACTCATGTTGAACTGAGTGTCACTCTCCAAACTCAGAGGCTTTCATCTGGTGAAGAGCAGGAGGAGTGATGGAGGCAGTCTTCACTCTGTTTATCTCATTTTGGCTAGATGAGGCTGCTTTTGGCTTTCTATCAGGAGCATCCTGGAGGCTGTAGAAGCTTCAGGATTCCTCATACCCCCACCATCCTGGTCTCTGCCATTTCGTACTCCTGTTAAATATTTTTCAGTGTTGATTGCTCAACCTCAGAGCACAGCTTGCACAGTGAGAAAGAGGGATCAGTGGTCTGATTGTAACACTGGAGTACAGTCTTGGAGCTCAGAGGCCAAACCTTCCCGTGCCCCAAATCACCACATGATGGCTAAGACACCAAAGGATGGTTCCTGAACTATCCTTGTCTTTTGCATGTGCCAGGGGAATTTATATAGAAACATAGTGCAATTTTCTGAATGCTACAAAACAAATCCTTGGATGGCATATGGGGGGTCAGACTTTTGATGAGGCTAGTTACAAAGTACCAAACAATAAAAATTTTAATTAATATTAATTAAATTAATATGCTGCCTCAAATCTAATAGTCAAATCTAATATTTTATTCATTCATAGACATAAATATATTCTTTAAAAAGAGAGACATATATAAAGTATATGTGTAAAGATAATACATATGGAGTTATCAGAATGGGGTCAATGAAAAATAACAGATGGTCTGCTCAGAATAGCAGGATTTAAAATTTCACAACTTCCTCAGTAATTGAAATATTAGGCACCTGAAATAAAATTATCAACAGAGAGGATCATCCAGGAAAAGATTATGCAATAGGGTGTATTAAAAGTTTCTGTAGCCCCTCAATAAAAATAGCTACTAAAGAGTATGTGCAGAATAAATGACACCTCTTTAAATAACAAGTCATCATGAACTAGTATGGAAGTGCTGATAGGAGGATTGCAGATTTGATCCCTGGTTTCTCCAGCTAAAAAATCTCTGCTCCCAGACCTAGGAAGAAGCTCAGCTTGAGTTCTTGAAGAGCCACTGCTACTCAAGTGTGTGACTGAGCATAAGGTAGCTTTGCATGTTCACAGTGTGGTAGAGCTAGCTAGATAATCTCCATGAGGCATCAGCTCAACCTCACCAACTTGTTCTCAAATGTTTTCATTTGTGTCCCCTTCTAGTTCTGTTCTGTTTTCAAGGATACCTCCGCCTTGCCAAATGTAAAATTGAAAATGTTCAGGTTCTGAGTACTGACAAACAGCAGCTATTTACTTGAAGCATCCTGGTAAAGGAAACATGCTTTGCAATATATGCTCTGCCTTTTTCTTCAACTTCTGACATCTCAAGGGAGGAACTGATGTCATATCTTTTGCAGTAGACCTTGGAGAAGATGGTTTGTTATTTCTTATAGGAATTGAAACATTCATAACTTGAACCTTGAGAGCTTCAGAGGTGGGCTCATCTTTGAACAGCTTCCCTGTGGATATCACTTCACTATAAAAAATTGTATGTACAAGACCCTTGTACATTCCCCACAAAGAGGTGTTATTGTGTTGGAAACTTGCCATTGGACTCACAGCTTTAGGCCTTTTGTTCTTATTTTTTGTATTAAAAGGGAGCATTCTGTACACTGACTAGCTATTGTCTGATGTTTTTGTATTGTACATTTATATGGCTTCATGTTAATTTTTAAGGCTTCATGAATTGATCAAATTGCAAGCATCTCATGAAGAGAAGACCTGTGTTAAGAGCCTCCTGTTAGATATTGATTTCAGGTAAGGTTTTTATTAAAAGTTTCATGCTTTCTGCATTAAGATTTCTCTAATCAGAAACTACTTCATCTCGAAGCTTCCAAGCTACAGTATATGATCGATCTATGTGATATTCCATGCTGTCGAGTTTTTAAAAAATGATACATTCCCAAACTATTAAGGGGACATATACACACTTTATTGTTGTTGTGTGCTGCCAAGTATTCCCCCATGTATTGTAGCTCTATGACTGAATGGCCTCCAAAATTTCCTGACCTTCAAAGTCTTGCCCGGCTTTGCAAACTCAAGGCTGTGACTTTTTTAATGGAATCCATCCATTTCATAGCTTGTCTTCCTCCTCTTCTGCCTTCAACTTTCCCTAGCATGATGGCCTTCACCAGCGAGTTCAAAGTATGACAATCGCAGTTTCATTGTTTTTGCTTCTAAGGAAAGTTCTGATTGATTTGCTCTATGGCCACTTGTTTGTCAGTCCAGGGTATCTGCAAAGCTCTCCTCCAGCACCGTGTTTTGAACATACCAATTTTCTTCTGCTCAGCTCTCTTCACTGTGCAGATTTCACACCTATACACAGTGACATGGCTTGTTACCTTAACTAACTTTCTAGCCATTCAATAATTTATGGGACTTCTCTGTTGCACTGTACTTGTGGCTGTGATGCATCTGACACCTGCTTGCTAAGCTGATGTGATGGGAAGGAGTGTCCTTCGTGATACTGTGCTTCGAAACAAGGACTAACATGCCTTGGAATAGCTTTGTGGGGCAGACTGAGGGGTGGAAGAGATCTTGGAGGTAGGGCAGCAGGCCAAAGGATAGGGCCAAGTAGGCTTCCTTCCTAAGAGAGGGATCTGAGGTAAGAATAGTTGGCAGATAAAACGTCACAGAAGAAAGGGAACTGAGGTAGTTTTACATATTGAATTAAACTAGGCAGCCAATTTGGCTGCAGAGCTCTTCTAATTTTAATGTATTGAAAATAATTATTTTACAGGTATTCTCAGTTTTATACAGAGGATGACTTCTGCCACTATAATATGTTTAACCATTATTTCTTTGCCGGAAAGGTAAGGCCAGCAAAGGGTTTTTTTAATGTTATCAGTGCTGCATATTGTGGAACATAGCACTCACAGAGCACATTCATTCATTCATTACTTTATATACTGCTCTAGGCTGAAGCTCTTGGGACAGTTCACATACAGTGTGTTTTTTAAACAATATAAAATGTGCCATTAAAACATATTAAATGTTATAAAAATTATCACTACAGAATTTAAAACCAATGTAAAAACATAAGTTGAGAAGGACCCTATTAAATCCTAATAACCAGCAGACTCCAGTAGTCGACTAAATGTCCTGCAATACAGGGTGGTCTTTACCTGATGCCAAAAAGATAGTAAAGTTAAAGTTCCTCAATGGGGAACTCATTCCATAACTGGGGGGGGGGGGGGGCACCACTGAAAAGGCTGTTCTTCTTGTGGCCACCATCCAAAACTCCCTCAGAGGTGATGGTCAGAGGAAGATCCCAGAACTTGATCTTAGTTTTTGGGTAGATGAAGGTCTGGAGAAGCATTCAGTTCCAAACCCTATAGGGCTTTATAAGTCAAACCAGCATCTTGATTTGGGACCGGAAGTATATATCGAAAGAATATAAATATATATTATAGAATTATAAATTAAAGAATTATATATTAAAGAATATAAATGTCAGGAGCAGACCCTCTACTGTGTAGGTCAGATGCCGCTTGCAGTAGTTCTCTGCCTGGTCTCCCAGCCCCCCTCCACCAGGGAAAGCACTTCTCGTTACTTCTGATAGGAGATAAGAGCACTTTCCTGCCAGGAAGAGAACATGGCCCTGGGGAGAAAACTGCTGACTGATTCAGTCTTGCTTATTTCTGAAGTGTTTCTGTCTTACTTTTGTGTTAGAAATGCAGCATTCCTTCCTGCTTTACTTCAGTAGGCTTAACCTTAGAGAATTTGGCCACACCGACAGATAGAATGCAGCTTCCCACAGTTTGGCATTCAGTCCTTGGACTGAAAAAAATCCCCACTTTAGCTTAGAGACCAGATAGCTTTTCTTGGGAGTAAAGGGATCTTCAGGAGTTCTGAAGGCAGTGTTTTACTTATGAGCCCAGCGTGGCATTTCATTTTTAATAGAGAAATAAATGTGCAAATCAGTGTGAAGAATTAAAGAGAATTGTGATTTTTCCCATTTTTCTGAGACATTTTTAGATCAGATATTTCAAATTAGCCCCTTTCAAACTGAGATGTAATATATTTGGGATTCATTTGGTTTACCTGCTTCATTCATTTGGTTTGCAGATCTTATAGGAACTATTTCCTTTGCAATTTCAAGCTTTCCTATGTAACTCTCAAGGGAATAAACATCTTTCCTTGTACACATGTCTGAAGATCTAAGCATTGCAGAGAATAATCAGTTAAGGGCATGTTTTGCCAGAAGAAATTCTTACAGCTCTCAGCATCCTTCCAGCCAGCCATTCTGGCTGGAGCATGCTGGGAATTATAAGAGTTATTTACTGCCTACAGATGCATAGAATGGCACCTTAAGTCACTTGTGGAAAGCACAATTGTAGATAGTAGTTTTATATGTGATCTTTGCTGCTTTAACTTCAAACATATTTCACAATTACCAAATGACTTTGCAAGTTACTTCTAGAAGTTTTAGTTTTTCAATATTTTAAAAGACTCAAGATACAATTTTGATTCAAAGAATTCCTCAGCCTCACTTGCTTCCTGTTTGCATTGGGGTTGGGCCTTTTGTTTAGGGTGGCTAACTAGGCATTCCCAAACAAGAGGGAATGCATAATGAAAAAAGAGCATTGGTTTGCATAAAATGTGCCTAGATTAATTTATATGTATGGCTGCAGACTGTTACCAGGTAACCAATGTGCTGGCTCAGATATACCAACAGTTGATGGGCAGCTTCAAGACCCCTCACACTCACTTATAGAGCTTTAGCTTATAGCCAGGCTTGCAATTGACAGGCCTTCTAAGAAAAGAGACTTAGAATAGAGGCTTTTGAAGCACAGGAATGTTAAGTAGGACATACGGCCCCGTGCCATATGGCCAACTGCTTTTGAATCTGAGAGGAGTTCGTGAAAACTTATGATGTGATATGTTCCTAAAAGAAATGGTTCAAAATTCCCATTGGGCATTTCTGAGTGCCACATATTCCAATAATAGCCCAGAAAGTGCAATGGAGATGGAAGTTTCCCTTGATCTCTTGCAGGGTGCTTATGATGTGTGTCAGAAATTCTTGCAGCAAGACAAAGGCAAAGATGTCATCATGGTGGCTGATCCACCATTTGGAGGCTTGGTTGAAGCATTGGCTTTTAGTTTCAAAAAGCTGATTGCAATGTGGAGGCAAACAGGAGAGGCAGGTAACTATTTCAGCGGTGGTTTGTTTTGAAACTATTTGATTTTAGGAAATGACTGCAACTTTTATGGCTGTATGTCAATTTAATACAATTGCATGTGATTTCAATTAGATAATAGAACCCAGCAGTGCAGACTATATTTACAGTGAGCTGAAAGTTTTAATTGGTAGGTTTATCAGTAAAAACTTTAGCTGAAGACTGAATAGGTGACACCCATTACAAAGGTGTTTGTGAGGGAAGCTAGTTGCTATGCTTTTGTGCTGCTTGTAAACATTTTAATACCTATTCCTTTTTTTGAGTTATAAAATGTAAATATATGTTTCTTTTGCCTCTTAGATTTGGCCAGTAAAACATTACCCATACTTTGGATATTTCCATACTTCTTTGAGTCCCGCATTCTTGAATTTTTTCCTAATTTCTGCATGTTGGATTATCAGGTATGGGCAAAGATATGGCAATGTGAAGCAGAAAAAATTACATACAATATCATGAACATTTGTTTGAGATTTCCAGCTCACTGGTATTCAGAAATGTCCTGGTAGGATCTCTGAATATAGTTAGTCATAGAATCATCTATTTGACTTCTAAATAATCTCCTGAATCTCTTCCCTCCCTCTCATTCAATTAAATTTCTTAAGGCATATCAAAACTCACTGAGCTGACATTTTGTCCCCACAATAAATCTCTGCATGTTTGGACATACACCCCCTTTTTATTTCTATCACACCCATGGTCTCAGCTGCTACAGTGTAAACCAAGATTTACCAGTTTGGTAATTAGAAAGTCTTGATGCAGTAACCACAATCATGTTAAATTAGCATGGACAATCAATGAAGGAATGTAGTCACTAAGCATATGCCTTACAAAGTTCATTAGCAAAAGCCAAACTGCCTTGATAGCTTTTGTTTTGTTGAGCTGGAGGTGGGAAGAAGTGAGCTGGAGCGTCAACTCTCAGCCCTTAGGTAGCCCATTGGCAGATTCTGTTGCTACTGGGGATAAACCTATACATAATATTTTCAGTGAATTTTAGTCATTCTAAATAAGCCGTAACAAACATGGTGTAGGTCAAAATTTGTCCAAATTTTGAGTGGTTGTGGGAGTATGCCATCATTCAAAATATGGCAATTATGTTACCTGTGGGATTTGGAGATCACTGGAGAGCCAGTGTGGTGTAGTGGTTAAGAGTGTGGGACTGGAACTCAGGTGATCTGGGTTCTAGTCTCTGCTCAGCCACAGAGCCAACTAGGTGGCTTTGGGCCAGTCACAGATTCTCAGCCCAAGCTACTTTACAGGGTTTTTGTAGGGATGAGATTGAGAGCAGCAGGAAGGGATTGATGCAAGACACTTCGAGTTTGTGCAAGAAAGAAGGTGGAATATAAATCAAATAAGTAAATAGAATCTTGGACATCATCAAGTTCCTGCTTGGTATTTAACTTTTGCTTGCTAATCTGGAGGTACTAAGAGGCTACTACCATATTTGTACTCTGAAGTAACATTTGAACCAGGCAAAGGGCTCATTAATATGAGATTAAATCATTAATAGTAAGATTTTTTCATCTGTAATTAAAAGTCAAAATTGAAAATTTGCTTCTAAGTACAGTCTACTTTTCAATAACAGTGTTAGTCTACTAATTTATTTTATATTTGCTGGGATCTAAAGAAGCTTGTGCAAAGTGCTCCCTTTTCTGACTGCAGCTTCTCACATGCAATGGAAGTTGCTTTAGAGGATATCTCTGAAACTACACATCCTTGTTCTTGTGATGCTTTTGGGGATTTCCAAGAATCTAGCAGAAGACTATATGAATCCATTCATGGATTGAGATAAGAAATAGTTGGCTTGATACATTTGGTAAAATCCAATATAAGTTTATTGGATTTTAGACCTACTGAAACTCATGGAACTTATGTTAATCATGACTAACTTAAATCCCATTCATTTCAGTGGGTCCATTCTATGTAAAACTTAAATTGGATTTTATCTGCCTTGTGTAAAACGAAAAGAATATGCATGTATTGGTCTCTTATCCCTGAGGATATTTATATGTGTACTGAGGTAGGAATGTCTAAAAATTGTAGCTGTAGATAGAAAAGAGATGGGAAATTTACACAAGGCTTTCTTTCAATAATTTTAATTTCAACTGTATGTATTGGATTTCATTATAATTGAGCCCCTGTGTTTTATGATGTGACCTTTTTTCCATTGTAAATTGCCCCAGATAACTGTTAGGTGGAGGGTGTAGCCATAAATATCTAAATAAATGAAATACCAGGGATTTGGAAGTCTTTTAATTCCCTCCCAGCTTCCACTCTGCCCCTTGCTTTATTTTATAGGTGGACTATGACAATCATGCCCTGTATAAGCATGGGAAGACAGGTCGCAAACAATCTCCTGTCCGTATTTTTACCAATCTTGCACCACACTTAATAGTGCTTCCTGCAGAAGAAGGATACAGGTAATGTTTTTGTTCAGCTGAGTAAACCTTTAGAACACGTATTTTAAAATTTGTTTTTCATAAAACGGGCATTGATATGTCTGACTGAGACATCACTTTACTCAGTTTTAACAATGCATTGTGAAATAAACCCAGAGCAAGCTAATAATTTTGACTGGTTTCTTCCTGAATAACAGGTTCTGTGCTCTCTGCCAGCGATATGTCAGCTTAAACAACCAGCATTGTGAAATCTGCAATTCATGCACATCCAAAGTGAGTGAGTTTAGGATAATTTTAGCAAGAGCTGGTCCTTAATCTAGATTTAGTACAGATAACTTCAGCTGTGAATGAATGCTGTCAAGATGGGTTGGAAAGAGAGGAAAAATTAAAGGGGATTTGAGGTGATGAGGTTGGGACTGGGAACTAAAGATGTAATCCTATACCCACTATGGAACTAAGCCCCACTGAAATCAGTGGAATGTAAAGTAAACATACATAAAATTGGGCTGTGAATATCTATATTAAACTGTCATTACAGTATCTATACTGCTGGATTCAGCAAGATTCTGCAGAAAGTGGAAAGAGAGGAGGAGGAAGTCTCATAGAAAAAGAGATAATGAGAGAAGAGGTGGCAGGCTGCAACATGCCCCGTGTTCTCCCCTGTCCCACCTCCCCAAACCAGTGGCTATTAATGAACATGTGCTAGCTTTGGCTTCCAGGATAGTCCTTTTGGCCAAGAGGATGGCATACATGTGGGGGCAAGAAGGATGGAGAGAGACTAATTGGCCCTGCTACCTACCTACCTACCTACCTACCTACCTGTCTATGTAAAATTTAGAGTAGGAGTGGCAACTGATAGCCCTCCAAATGCTTTGGCCTACAATTCCCATAATCCCACAGCCCAGGCTATATTGGCTCAGTCTCATGGGCATTGTAGATCAAAACATCTGGAGGGCCACAAGTTTTCCACCCTGGTTTGTTATTGGAAGAAACCTCGACACCGTGGCTTACCTATATGACACTGCTGCTCCCAAATATTCAGGACTAGCCACTCTGGAAGCAGCGTTCACAGATAGGCCTGTATTTCCGTAAGAGAAACTGATGATCAATTTTTGTCTTTATTATATAGTATGGCAATGTTCCCCAATCTGGTGCTCTTCAGACATTTTGGACTCAAAATTCCCATCCGCTCCAGACAGCATGGCCAATAGTTTGTAGTCTAAAACTTCTGGGGGGCAGGGTGTCAGGTTGGGGCAGCCTGCTTTTTGCTGTAGCATAGTATTTTTTATCACTGGCAAAAGGAGAGGTCTCCTCACTTTATATAGTGAAGAAGTGATTTTCCCCTCCAGTCAAGTAAGATAGAGCATGTTTCTCCAAACTGCTGTCTTCCAGATCTTTTGTACTATGACTCTTGGCATTTCGGATCGTAGGCCATGCCTGGTTTGAGCTGATGAGTTCAAGTCTAAAACATTTGGAGGGTACCATGCTGAGGAGGGCTGTGACAGAAGTTTCAGTAAGGTGTGCAAATTAAAAATAGCTTTTGGACTTAAAGCAGGGATTCTATATAGTAATAGCTAATGACTAGATAGTTAATGACTTTTCAAAAAGAATTGTTTTAAAATCTGAACACATTTTTTCACATAGGATGGGAGACAATGGATACATTGTAATCTTTGCAAAAAGTGTGTAAAATCCTGTAAGTATTTTCATCCTATTTTTACTACTATCAGGACAAAATGTGTTCAGCCACAATATGGATGTGAAAAACCCATCACTGTAAGAACAGATTTAGACTTAAGGTGGGATTCCTTATCTGATCAAGGATCCATGTTACAAGTTTTGCTTCCTACATATGCCTTAGATATGCTAATAGGCCTGTCCTCTTTGTATTGCCGCTACACCTATTCTCTTGCCCTAATATGCCTCTAATAAACTGCCTAGGTGATTCCCCCACCCTCTCCAAACTGTGTATGTAACTGATAAGTTATAAAAAGCATCCCGTACAGACTCCATCTTTGTAGTCCCTTTGGGAGCTACTGTCATTCTGCATGTATTTCCTGTATGTCTGAATAAACTGTGCATGTTCTTTTGATTGTACACCCCTAGCATACCTGCTTTCTTGGGTTTCGCTTGTCACTATACAATTTGCAGTCAGGGGAGATTAAGCTCCACTACTATGGGCATTTCAAGTTTCCATGTTTCAGTACTTGGCAAACCAGCTTCTATGCTAGTCACATAACAAGTTCTACAAATGAGAGATCTTGACTACTTCTTTGACATGGAGCAGCCCAGTTCCTGGTGATTTTGATCGCCTGTTGTTTCCTAGGCTGGCCAGAGATAGGAACAGAAGCCCTCTCCTATGGTCCTTGGATATACTGTTAACATTTTCTTCCAGGTGCCATGTGTAAAAACACTGTGTTTTTGAAATGGTTCCCATAGCCTCTGGCATTCTCGCCAGATAGAACAATTTATAAATTGTCAGTGTTAACCTGTTCAGAACTCTGAATTGCTTATTTTTTATTTGCAGCATGGATTCATTGCAGCATTTGTGATCACTGTGCTCTTCCAAGTCACTCCTGTAAGAATGCTGATGTGGGATGCTTTATTTGTGGAGCAAGAGACCATAAACGCAGTGCTTGTCCTAATATGCTTGGGGCTAGGAGAAGTTACCAGTAAGTCTGTAATGTGAATGCATTTGCTTGTTTACCTCCCAAGAACAAGCAGATATGTATCCTTCTGATGAAAAACAGAGAGGCTAGATTTCCCAGATGGGTGCTGGAACTCTTGAAGGATACTGTAAATATTTGAAGTGCTTTGCTGTTTCCAAAGTAAACACTGCATATTCTTTTTTGTGATTAAATGTCATAAAGTACTGTTGATTTGCAAAGGTTTGCTGAAAACAGAAAAAAAGGGAAAAAATCCACCATATTGCACAAACTGTTATGCTTATTTTGGCTTCTGTATAGCAATTTTGTAATTCAGATCCACAACATCTATGTAAATATGCATTATAAAGCAATAATTCAGGTTAGTACTTTAGCATGTGGAATATTATGCACAATGAATTGCAGTTACTAATGTGATATAATGTAATACAATCAAAAAGATCCATTTTGCAAAACTCCACATACCTTTGTTCTAAAATATGAATATGCAATGTCAGCACGCATGAAAATGGAATAATAATGATAATATAATGAGATAGGTTCCACACATCTGCTCTTAACAGTCAAGAAAAGATGGAAACTCTTCTTGGTAGCTGATACTTTTATAAAAGTGAATGTGCTATGCTAGAGCAATTATTGGTGGTACTGCAGCAATTCTGCAGTTCCAATTGCTTTCAGAACCACAGAATGAGGTTCAAAAGGTATTATCACCTTTCTATAAGGTGATAATCATATACTTTCTATATGATTTTATCTTTTAGATTCTAGACCTGTTAACTATTTGTACAATTCATCTTTCCTATTTTCTAGATTTAAGAAAACAGTCATTTGTGTTACATGTCTTGTTTTGCAGAAGTACCAAAAAGGCAAAGCAAAAGAAGAAGAAGGTAAAAGCAAATGCCATGAATAAAACAGATGGGAAGAGGTCAAGAAATACAAGGTGAAGAAAGAGCAACAAACAGAAAAGGTTGCTCAGTCTCAAAATGCACACCATCCAGTGTTCTCCGGATACTTATCTAGGTATTGATGGGTTTGACCATATTGGAGACTTATCTTTTTGCAACATTTGGGTTCAACAAAACAAGTCAGCCAAACTCCTGCTGAATGTATGAGGAAAGGCAGTCGATATTACAAACTGCGATGCACTGCAGAAGAATGCAAAACTAATATAATTTAGTTTTATAAATGTTAGTGTGTGTGTGTGTGTGTGTGCTTTTTTGTTTTAATAACTTCATAGTATTTCTTGTACTTAGAAGATTTTGAAAACTGCGCCCATCTTGTCCTAGAAAATGCATTACAAAGCAATCAGTAAGGGAGGAGGATGAATGTAAAGAACTGCACAGAAAGGGCACAACAGTAAAATAACAGGACAAATATGCATTGTCACAGCTTGAACCAGATCTAATGGCCTCCACTTCATAGATTATGACAAATGCAGAGCAAGGAAGAAAGGGAGTGAGGTAGGGAACAGCAGCCTAAAGTGAAGGATGTTTCCATAAGGGATCCAGAGTATATGTTTTGCATCAATTAAATTATTCCTAGAGAAGTCCCTGAGGCTGCATAAATGTAAACATGAGTTGTGTGAATGGACGGGCTGTGATGGCTCACAAATTGGTGTCATGAAAACTATCCATGGTGCTGAATTCCATCCCCGGAATAGATGTACCACCATGGAAAACCATGGATAACCATGGATAGTTCCTATAAATGCAATATATTGGTGGTGGTGGTGATGCTAGCTATAGCATTCGGAATAAAAGCTGAAATGGAAAAGTTGCTCCACTAACACAGAAATCAGCAGGCTTCCCTGGGCAAGGCAGACACTGTCAGCATTTTCTTCTGGAAGAGAAGGAAGTCAGTCTCGGAACATGAATGTGCACATTGTAAGCATTCCATGCCAGGGCTCCAATAGATTTCCTACGTGAAGCTTAAAACTAGTTTGCTGGTCCCTTGCCAGTGATTCCTTTAAGCCCCTTGGACAACATACCTAAGAATTTTATTTTCTGCCAACTGGATATATCACATGCTGCAAGAGTTGGAAAAAAACTCATGTTTCAAGGACATGGCAAGATTATTCTTCACCTGGATCATATTCCAACACCTGTCATTGCTGGTTGAGCAAGCTACCACCTGAAGGAGCAAAGAAGCACATCTGCCAATGACAGCTGCCACCCATGTGCCTTATGTCGCTCTTTGAGTACCCCCTCAGAGCAAGTACTCCAGAAGGCAGGCTCATTGCAGAGCTGTGTCAACTGGTGAAAGTGGCTGCCACAGCTTTTCAGATGCCTCACTCTGGGTAAACAGAGGACTGGGCAGCTATGTGGTAGAAAGCTGCCCTGGGAGATCACCCTGGGATGCCTCTCTAGCCAGGCAATCTTTGTGGAGCTTCTTCAGCAGAGCCAGAACCAAGCATTTGAGTCTCAGCAGCTGCTTGATGAGCCATGATGGTTGCCTCTGCCTCTGACACAGCTCTCAGAACCCATCCAGCCCCATGCTGTCTTGCTCTAACAGAGTTTTAAAGAGTGTGCCAGAGGGCAGGGAACTTCTCCAGATCCAGTCAGAGTGAGCAGAAGATGGGCAGCTGTTCTGGAGAGCCTGCCCATCAGACAGCTCTCTCTCTGAGGAGTCATCAGAGCAAAACAGGGTGTGTGGCTGTTTCAGAGAGCCTTGCTACTTCCTCTCCCGTTGTGGTATTTGCCAACGTGGGCAAGCAGGATAGGCCAGACTCCAGAGCATCCATTAATGCCATTACCTTGCTTCAGTGACATGCCAACAAAGAGCCTTTCTGATGAGGCTGTATGTGTACAATTTGCAGTTCCCATAGCACCTTATGGGAGAACTGGCCCTGTCTGTCATCCTCATGGTGGGTTTTCTATGGCACTGCAGTAAGACTAAACAACATAAGAGTTGTTGTTATTATTATTATTATTAGAACATTTCTATGCCGCCCCTTGCCTAAGCCTCAGGGCGGCTTACAACACAATAAACTACAATACAAAAATAACAATATAAAATTAAAATTAATAATATAAATAAAAAATATAAACGATATAAAAGAAGTTAGAAAAGAAAAGAAAAAAGTCGCCCTGGCCAGATAAATAAGTAAATATTGTTAACAATTAAAATGATGTTTGAAGTAAATATTGTTAACAATTAAAATGACGTTTGAGTTCAAGTTTCTTGTCCTAGATTTGGAACTGTAACATGATGATAGATAGAGAATACTTTTAATTCATGACTTCAACTGAGATTTTCAAGGCATCTGGGACTCCTTTGCAATTTGAGATGCTTGGTGGGAATAAAACTGGCTGTGCAGTGTGCGTCTGCAGTTGGGAAGAAGGGTTAAACATCATCTTCCAGTACATTATTTCTTTGTTTCAAGTTGCATGTACCCAAATTCCCTTTGCAACAGAAAGGATGTAGTGGTTAAGGTTTATGAGCTCAGCTTTCTAGGTTAATATTCTATGCAAGCCCCTGTGAGCACATGATATGGTAGAGAGTAGGTGAGAAGGGACACCGCCCCACAAATTCAGTGAACTATCAATCACCTGCCAGTGTTTTATGAATGGTGGTGGCCAGTAAGGTAATTATCATGGTCTGTAGTTTTTGTTCCCTCTGACCTAATGATTTACAATTACAGCATAAAAGCTTCTACCACTTATGGAACACACCTTCCCGACCATGTACATGTGAATACATGTTTGGGGCTAATGTAAGTTAAACAATTAATGGAAAGTGAGGACAAAGTCTGGTCTGTATCTGCAGAAAGATTAGGTAACAAGTTCCTGAACTGAGAAAGGGGACTGTAGTTAAAAAAAAAAGGGGGGGGGATACTGTTTTTGAATTCTCTCCATGTTAAAAAAATAAAATAAAACTAAGTTCTAAACTAGTGCATGGGAGGTGGGAGGTCAAGTGTGGCCTGCTCTCTGCTGATGCTTTTCTGCTTGTGCATGGTTTTCAAAACTATTATTTAGAGGCACACATGTTCTACCTCTTCTGCATTCCTTTACTCTTAATGTTGCATGTGTTGACTAGGCCATAAACCAAGGGCAGAGGAACAAAGAAACCAGCTGACCATCCACTGAGAGAGCCTTATTTAACTCTTGTCTTCTGTAATCCCAGAAAGTATCTTCCTTTGGGTTGTGTTTAAAGCCAGGCTGACTTCTGGATGGCACCAGTGTGTAAAATTCATGTGGAGGTTAATTTCACAGTTACTAGTTATTTATGAACATCCTCTAACAGTACTTGCAAGCTATTCTGAATTAACAATGTATAAAATTCCTTTTTTATGCTGCAGAATTCTACACGTTCTCTAAGATTCCTTAGAGACCATGGCTATTGCATGGGTAAATTACAAAACTGCAATCAGATTATGCTGAAGTATGCATGTTGGTCAAGGCTTGTTGGAGATTATGCATATTGCCTGGGGAATGTGTGGTTGGGGAATGAACATATATGCACATTCTCCATGAGCCATGAATGTGTGGCTGGTGTCCACATTAACCATTTAACTTATATTAGCCTTAGCATATACACTTGGAACTCAGGCTAACACAGTATGCTTCTGATGAAGTTGGCCGTAGTCCATGAAAGTTTATGCCATAATAAATTTAGTCTTTATGGGAGCAAAAAACTTTTTTTTTCCAGCAACAGACATTACAGTGAGCCTCTGCAAATGGTCAAATGGTGTCATGTTACTAGTACAAGCTTCTGCCTCTTGTGGAAATCCTATTTTTAGCCGTCCACAGTTGTCAAACTCAGTACTTTGATTCTGCTTGTGCCAACTGTGCTAGTTCTGATCACAACTATGCAAACTCTAGAAGAACACCAACTTTGTATTTTTTTTTCCTGGCATAATGTTGGATATAACTCACAAGTAGCACCACCTGTGCAAGCAACGTCTAATTTACAAAAGTTGTAATTAGTTATGCAACCAATTGCAAAACAGCTTGTGCAATAACTTGTGCAATAACTTACACAAGCAAGATCAAAGTACTGCATCTGGCACTTGCAGAATATAAAAATAGGTCAAAAACATCCTGTGATAGCACTGGATACAATCATTAATTCTAGAGGGCCATCATGTTAAGCCTTCCATAAGCCTAACGCCTTCCAGTTAAAATTACTACTTTTCCACTCCTACGCTGCCAGTATGCATCTGATGCAGCACTGCACGTCTACTGAAGCGTCGGCAGCCTTCGCTTCCAATTTCCTGGCTGCGCGGAGTTTCAGCAAAATGACCTTAACCCGCAGTTTTATCAATGAAAGCAAAAACAGCCGGAATGATGTTTGACTACACTGCATTCATTTCACTTAGGATATGTATAAACCACTCTTCATCAATTGTATCTTTGGGTCACTGACTACACTTAAGAGGAATCCCCTTTAACAGTATCATCGCCCATTACCGCGCGTTCCTTTGTTACAATGATTCAGCATATATGGGGTGTGCGGCTGAGGGGGTATGCGCTCAGCGGGTTCATAAGGATCGTTTCCAAGGAAGCCTCCCGAAGCCTTCGGCGCCCACCCGCAGCAAGCCGCTCGCCCCAAAACTCCCTTTTCACGTCGGCGTCACTCCCCTTCTCTCGGGAAAGGGAAGTGCTCCGGGTTGCCGCTTCCGGAAGCAAGCCCGAGAAGGAAGCGGAGCCAGTTGGAGGCGGGTCTCGTCGTGCTGCAGGAGGGAGCCGGCGCGCTCCGCGGAAGCGGGTAGGAGTCGCGTTTCTCGCTAGTCCCTTGGCGGGGCAAGGAGAGGCGTTTGCTGAAGTGGAGAGCCGCGTAGCGGCGCCTACCGCAGGAGCGAGGAGCAGGAGAGCGCCGCCCGCCTCTTTCCTGGCGGAGACTGAGTGCCGTTATCGGCTCACTCGATGGCGGGCTCCAGCGGAGACTGCTGGGCTAGCGTGGGGAGGCTGCAGCGATGGCAGAGCTCCACTTGTTGAATCGCGGGCATCTGATTGCTACCTCACTTCTCCCCAAAAAGAGGTGGCTATCGGAAAGGAAGAGAGTGAGCAGTGAGAGGAGTCCCCCCCACGCCCCATTTGCTTCCCTGATATTTTGTGCTTTTCTCAGATGCATGACAGGCAAAGTCTCTCAGGTGCTGCTATTCCTGGCCTTGAAACCGCGCTCTTTTGTACACTCGGCCAGTGGTGAAAACGTCCAGAGGCTGTGCGGAAGGAGTTCTCTTCTTTTTTAATTAAAGTGCACTAGAAATGTAGGGTGACATTTAAAATATCATTGCAAACATAAGAATATAGTGAAGGCAAATGCACTATATCTAGTCTGGCTGCTAGTCTGGACAGGGGAGGCCCCAAAAGGAACATTTGTTGCAGCTCTCTCCAAGGTGTTGGCCAGAAGCATCCTTCAGTCATTTGCAGCCATTTAGGGCAAGGCTGGCCAATTGAGA